AGAAGTTCTGTCAGCTGGAGCCTCCGAGTCGCGGCTCTGGCTGGTTTGGCTGATGCCCAGTTGATGGGGAGCGGAGGCTATTGGTGTTTTTGGGGAGTTGGCAGAGAGAGGGAGGTGGGTGAGGATGGTTCCCAGGCGCTTCCCCTGCCTTCAGGGGTGGCTGGGTGCTGGGACTGTGCTCCTTGCCCACCACCCAGGACCCTGCGAAGCTGGCACTGAAACCTGGGCTCCTGCTCCCAGCACGTGGCCTCGGGGGGGGCTGGATTTCAAAATCCCCAGGGCAGGGGTGTGCCAAGACTTCGTTGCCTCTGAGAAAGCAAAGTCACGCTTCACTCCTTCCTTCTTGGCTGTTCCTCCCCCCGCGTCGCGAAGCGGGGCTCCCGCTTGCTGCGGTCAAAGCAGGAAGGTGGGGAGTGAGCGTGACCACTTTTAAAAAAGTCGTGTCATACGTAGTTCTCCTGGGTTTGGAGGAAGCAATTAAGCCAATTAATTTATTGGTAAATTATCTTATGATGAAGTACAAAATAACTGCAATGAAACGCTGACGTTCACATTAATACCAAATTAGTTACTGTATTATGACTGTTCTTACAATGAATGCCCAGTAATTTAATAGTAATGGGACATTTAAATAATTTAGCCGATAATTCTCTAGATCACTTACATATATAAATGAGCATGACAGCTTCTTTTCTCAGCGTTGCTGGTGCTGCTGGATTACCTCCCACCACCGCACCAGGACGCAAAGCTGCCTGGCTCCCCTCGCCGCCGTCCCCCCAAACTCACCTCTTGCTGGAAACCACGCGGGGGATGGCGTGGCAGAGGGGATTTTCCTCCCTCATCAGGCTCTGGCATTGCTCTGTGGTTGGGCTTAGCAAAGCCACAGTTGGGTTTTTTTGGCCCTGTGGTGGGAGATGTCTGGGTAGAGATGCTCTGCCCAAGCCTGGTAGAACATCCCTAGCCGTGCTCCTTGCGAGAGCGCTGTTGACCCTCGCAGCGGGACGGGCGATGGAGATCCGGCCAGCGCCGCTTAACGGAGTAGCTCAGCCCCTGGTACCAAAATTCCTGTGTGTTGGCTCTGAGGCAACAGCTTCGTTTTCACGTAGCTGCGCTTTCTGTAATAACTGCTATGAATAGCGTTAAAATTGCTCCTCGTTCCGCCCTCCCCACTGCCCAAGAGGACTCTTTAAAGGAGGGCGAGGGCTTGGCAGCTACACAGGGCAGAGTTTGTCTGCTTTATTGCCTCTTGGTCACCCCCCTGCGCCCACGGAGCTGTTTGTAGACACACCAGCTGTGGTTTCCGGCTCCCCATGGGGAAAAAGAGAGAAGAAATGCAGTTTACGCTGAAAGCAGCCACCGTTGCAAGCTACACCTAAAGGATAAACTGCCCCAGTGCCTTTTTTTTTTTTCCCCCCACAAACTAGTGAATGCTGGAGAAAAACAGCAGGCTTCTGCCCTGCCAAGCACACCTGGGACGGTGAGAGGTTCAGGCATCCTTTCCGCGTGGGGTCGGAGTCGTGCCCTGGAGATGGATGTTGCCAGTCGGCGTGTTACTTTGCTGTTGAGATTGCATTGAACCTGCTGAAATATTAGTTAATGGGCTTGCTTACGTCCAACCTAAATGTGGTCTTTTCATCACATCACATTCTGCTGTCAAACCTGTTGTGGAGAGGAGTATTCCACTGTCGGCAAGATTGAGGATAGAATTATCCAAATTAGTTTTGTTGCAGATGAGAGCAGAGATGAGGGTTTTTAACACAAACCCTGCAGCCTCTTTGGAGAGTTTGGCTCTTTTCATCGAGCATTAAGTTGAAGACTACTTTTTTTTTTTTTTAAATTGGGATGTGCTGCCAAATTTGTGAAGCCAGCAGTTTGCTGCAAGCAAGTGTCTGCAAAGAAAAAAAAAAAATAAGGAAAGCTGAAGTTTGTAGCTGCTCTGTTGCAGCTGTTGATTAAACCGTGCTTGTGGGGTCTCTTGTGTGGGTCATGATGAGGCTCCAGCAGTTGGATTGCTAAGGGAAGGACTTGTCTGCACCAGAAATATCCTGCATGGAGGAGATCTAGCAAGGGTTTCTTCTCCTGTCATTTGGATCCTCGTGGCAGGGCTCTAGATGCAACCTCAAGGTTAGGAGGCTGAAATCCAAGGGAGCCCTGTGCCAGCCAGCAAAATGTAGCCGAAGAGGAGCACAAACAACCCGAGTTGGGGTGGCTCCCCGCCATGTGCTGTGACAGCACGGCAGCCTATTCTTCCCTCGGGAAGAAAATTCACTTTATTAACTGGACCCGTCCCGTTCCCTCCACTGTGCGCAAAGATAGGGTCACCTGAGCCGTTTTCTGTGTGGTTAGTTGCCTGTAGGAATCTTTCCGGGCTTTTGTTCGGACTTTGCCGTTTCCAGGGGCACCTTTTTCCAGTGCATTTCTTCTTAGGAGCAGTTGGGGTCAATACCAGCCCCTTCCCAGAAGGCTTTGTCAGAGCAGCTGCTTGAGCAGATTTTTGGGTGGGCTTTGGTCTTTCTGCAGAGTTCCTGTCCTAAAAGATGTTGGGTACTGACCATTTGGGTAAGAGCACGTTTTCTACAAGTCACTTGCCATCTCCTCCATGGTTTAGCGGGCATGGTGGTGTTGGGTTGATGGTTGGACTTGATGATCTTAAAGGTCTTTTCCAACCTTAATGATTCTGTGGTATTTTTGATGAAATAACTCTGTCCTAGTAGGGGAAGCCAGGGCAGTAAGGGGTTGGGATAGTTCAAACATGCAGAAATGTTTAAAATGTGACCGTTCCCTTTGTAGGTGGAAGACCTAGCTGCAAGATCTTAGCAAGCAGTGATCAGCGCTGTGCTTGGTGAAGCGTAACCGGCAGAGTACATGCCATGCCGGTGTGATGTGCCGTCCTCGGCCTGCCCTCCCCCAGAGGCAGGTTGGCCTGGTTTGTGCTGGAGGAAACCTGGGCAGCTTCCTCCAGCAATGCAGCCCTCCTCATACCTCCCAGCCTGTCCACGGTGAGGGTATAGAGAGGTCCTCCGGCTGCCTGGGGATGGTGGGCCTTGTTTCCACTTAAACTGGTATGGCACACGACTTGTCAAGTCAACGTAGGTACATGGCAGTTAGAGGTGAAAGCAGGTATTTGTGGCTATTGGCTGTAGAAGATCCTGTACTTGATGTAAAGGAAGAACTTGATGTTCTTCAGTGCCACGTAGGATGTTCCAAAGCTTTAGGGCGTTCCTAACCACTGGTTATAAATACCTTGTCCCCAAAATTTCTGGCTTGTGAGCAACCAAAATTGATTGCCGATCAACTGAAATGCTATAAAGTGCTGTCACGGACTACTTGGGGCGTTGCGTTTCTGAGATTTAGTTCCCTGCACTTGCTTTTTGTGATATCAGCCCTAATGCACCCTACTGCGCAGGACATGCTACATCAAAGCACAAGCCTGGGAAATCTCTGCCTTTGAGTGTCTCGGGTCCTGTGTGGAAGACATTCCTGCCATGGAGCTTCACGTTGTGCTGCTCAAGCACATAAACAGCCGTGGTGATCCCGCAGGCTACGCCTGTGTGCCGCTTGACGCATGGTGGCTGAACGTGACGGGGCAGACTTTCACCGGCAGGCTACTTAAACTTGACCAGATTTAGACGAAGCCAAAGCAGGTCTAGGTGGATTCGGTTTAACAGTGTGAGACAACCTTTTAGAAAGCTCAACAGGCTTACTCCAGATTGCCGTTACAGCTGCTGTTCTGCTACGTATGTTGGTTTTTTTTTTAAGCAACAGATATATTGCTATTTGTGCAAACAAGGTAACTGGGCATTGTTTTTCATAGCAAAATAGATTCTCGGGACATCCACCAAAATGAACGCCACCTGACTGCTTTGCTTTTGCTCTGCTCACTGATGTTTTCTGTTAACATCCATATATATGAGTTGGTCCGTGAAGAGTTGAAATGGTGCTGGCCCTCATGCGGCTACGTAAATATTCAGCTTGTGGTAGATTGCATTAAGTGTCTTATAATCCATCCCAATTAAAAAGCAGTCTTTATAGCTGTAATAGTTTTATTGAGAACTGTAACACATTAGACTTACAGATATATAAAGCAGTTAGTTTTATAAAGCATATAGGATATTAAAGTAATGAAAGACATTAATGTGACATCAATTTTTAAGGAGAGTTACTTGCTGAAATAAATGAGTATAGCCTAAAAGTTGATGGTATGTTACAGTCCTGAGTAATGAACCTCTCTGCCCCCTAACACCTCGTAGAATAAATAATGCTTGAGCAAGTCAGTGGTCATTAACTCTTCATCCTCTGAGAGCTACATGTCACATTGATGTCTCATCTGATTTTTTTTTTTAACTTTAAAAAATTAATTCAGGAAGGAATTCCCTTTCCTGGAATAGCTATAACTTGGAGTGTGTTATTCTGATGTGTCCGGTTTCCTAAGGTCTCCCCTTTTCAGTGAAGCAGAGCTGTGACTGACACTGCCAGATGCAAAACTCTTGAGGAAGTTAGTTTTTCCTTTTTCCTTTATTTCCTTCCTTTGTCTTTCCTTTTCCTGCTTTCTCACTGTTTGCCAGTGCTCTGATCTGCGCTCTACCCAGCGGTGTCTTAGCGTACCATGCCTGGAGAATCAAAAAACATGTGTATGTTTTATTAAAACTTAAAAAGTTTCTGAAGTGTTCTTTTTTTTTTTTACTAGTACAATGGAGCATTCCTAAAAAAAAAAAAAAAAATCTTAAAATCCTGGCTGGCTTGTGGAGAAGCAGAAATGAAATCCTCAGATCTCTTGAGAACATTATTATAACAAGGAGTATAGCAATTGCTTGCTTGAAGTGTGTCTCATTAACAGGAATACTTAGCCGGGCCATTTGTGTTGCTATAGCTATGGAAATGTTAGAACTTCTATGATCAACCCTATTTCTGAGGTATATAGCTCTTGTCAAAACTCCCTCTGGTCTGAAACTTGGCAATAGGCAAAGCATTTACTTCTCATGGCTCTGCAAATCAGTCCAGACAGTTTTTACTTCAATGCGAGAGCTTAAGAAGCAAAACAAACCCTGAACGTTAAAAACCTGTTTATTGCTTTCAGATGCCTGTTCACAGTCCTGTGACTTGTAAATGATTTTTGGTATAGGCGCTCTGCAAACTTGCCAAGCTCCTGGACTGTAATGTCAACAAGGCAGTTCTAGGCCACGTGAAAATAATGTAAAATGAAGGAGAGGGTAGTGCTTTAAAGTTAGGAGTGTGTAGGAATTAGTCTTTCCCCTGTATGTATGTACAGGAACCTTTATCAACGAAGTCCTGCCTACACCAGAGATTAAAACGTCACTGGTTGTTGACGTGACTGATAAAACGCCTTCCCTCTTGACCCATTCCTGCCCAGGAATGAATCTTTCCTCTGACCACTATTTAATGCCCCAACTGTGTCCCCTCTGCCCTTCGCTGGGGTAGTCTTCAACCTTCCTACCAATGCTGTAAAGTCTATCTTTTCCATAGGATTCATCCAAAATCCTGCTTCTAGCTTGAGCCTGGTAAGGCTACCCTGAGGAATTTGCCTTGCCCAGTTTCCCAGTATGTGTTACGGGCAGGCAGCCACAAGAGTAGTAGCTGGGAGAAGAGGTACTGGAAGTGTATAGGGCAGAAAACCCTTTGATGTTCCTCTCCTGGTCGCAGATGGTCCTTCTTGGTGTCATGCTGCTTCTGGGTGCCAAGAAGGGGCTGATGACAGACACCCCATTTGGATCTCTTGCCTTGCAGATTAAATCCTGTCAGCAGGTAAATGAAGTCTGACAGCTGTCAAATGCCCGGCTGGCTGCTGGGCAGCCATAACGCTCTGATCTCTGCTCTAGTTGCCTAAATTAGCTGAGCTTCCCTCCTCCAAGAACCCTGACAGCACCGATTAAAACATCATGCAACCCCTCATGCACCCACATCTAGATGGTGTCACGGCAGGGGGTTGGGAGGAACCCCTGGGCTTTCCGTGCAGTGGCCTGGGCAATTGGATTTTGCTGTCCTAAAGACGGTCTTGGGCCGAGCTGTTCCTGTGTCGGGGAGAGCAAACACAGCTGGGACACCATGGGGCAGGGAGAGGAGATGGAGATGGCTGTTTCTGGTCCTTCACAGGGGTGGGATAAGAAAGACAAGGTGGTGGTTGTGAACGTTGGCTTGGGGAGGAACCGACTTCCCCAGCAGTAGCTAGCAACGCCTCTGGCCTTCCACGCGTGATAGGCCATCAGGCAACAGAAATTCTGGTTTTTTCCCCCCAGGTTTGTTGTCCTGGGTATGACGTTCCCCAGACCTTAAGTGGGAAACAGCAAGAATAACAAACCCCTGCCAATGCCTTGCCGGGAGCTTGGTAGGATGGCAAGTGCTGTTTGGTGGCTGCAGCCTGGGGAGGTCATCTCCTTGCTGCTTCTGCACTGCTGAAGTCACTAGCAGAAGCTGCGTGACTCGTGATGTCTACTCTTATTCCCATTTCTTTGTGCATGTATTTCAAGGCAGTAAAATTACCTGCCTGTTTGCGCGGGATGACGGCTGCTTTCGACTCCTTAGCTAGCGGAACTGCTATGTGGGATTAACGAAGCCAACTCCTCAGATACGGTTAAGATAAAAGTAGATTTATCACTAACGCGCTAGCATCTGAACTGTTACTGACAGCAAGTGACTGATCAGAGTTAAAAAAACTCTTTGCTTGTTGGAGGAATGATGTCTGCAGTTCTTTAGTATGGATTTTCCTACATATTGTTAAGTATTTTGTACCGGTCGCTGCCAGGCAGAACTAGCGTGCTACTTGGACTGCCCTTCGCTCCTCTAGGACTACCGTTATTTCTGCGTAAGGATTTGTATCAATTGCACTGGTGCAATAATTTATAATTTCAAAAATGTGGATGTATAATTGGGGCAGAAATTTGAGTAAATTGAATGAAGAAATCACATTATTGCAAATTTTGCATTATTTATATTCCTTTCGGAACGCTGGCAGAATATAAACGTCAAACAGGGAGATTCATGTTTCCAGTGAATAGAAATCAAAGATTCATCACAGTGCTAATCTTCACTTTGAATACTGCGTTTTAGCTGCCCCGCTTCAAAAAGGACAAAGCGAAGCAACAGAAAAGGTCCAGCGATGGCAATGATTAGCGGCTCGGGAAAAGGGGCTTCTGTGCGAGAAGAGATGAAGATACTGGAGTTAATTAATGCACGAGGCCATTTTGACAATCCTCTTCCCCTGTGCCGTACTACAGGTGCCGGGGCAAGGTTCCATGACATTTAAGGGAAACAAATTTCAAACAGATAAAAGGAAATACTTTAAGGGCTGTAATTAATGCAAGGAAATGATTGCCATGGGACGCTGAGGACAGTATCGTTTTAGCAGTGTTCAGAACGAAGTGCTGCCTGCGTACTTTGTGCTGTACAAAACAGGCACATTTATAGTAAGTGGAATAATATTTTCAAGTTAAACTCACACTAAATACTGGCTCTCACGTTTCAAGGCACAAATGGTTTACTACTTGGAGCTGGGAATGACAGGTTTTTTTTTTTCTTTGCTGCAACACTGAACCATTAGCTTTTCCCTGAGGAAAGATATTGGTTTAGATAGGAAGCATGAGGAAAAAAAAGAGTAATTTGCCAAATATCACAAATGCTGCCTATGCTGAGTGAGCCAAATGGCTCTAAATGGAAATTGGAAAGTATTCAACAGGGCTGGGGGAAATATGCACTGTCATTAGGTTAGCAGTGGAAGATATCTTGGACAAAGTTGCTGGAAACTGCATCCTGTTTATTGTGTGAGGTGCTGTGGGGATTCAAAACCTGAGGGGATTCAAAGAGCAGAACGAAAAGGAAACCTTTCAGCCAGGAGAACTGGATGGTTTATAAGCGGGTCTGGGTAGAAGTTGGGGGGTTATAAGACTGGGAAAGCTCTTCTGGGGTCTCTTGGCTTCAGTACAGAAGTCCTATCCCATTTGGAGCCCCTGGTGTGGGCTGCCTGCGGCTCTTTGGTACGCAGCGGGGTTTTCCTGTGAGGTGGCCAAAGGTTTTGGTAGCGTTCAGTAGGCTTGAAGTGCCTTAGTCAAGTGTTGTGCCATTTTTCTGGGGTGTCAGTGCTGCTAAGCTGTAGTGTTGCACTCAGCTAGCTAATTCAAGTCCAATTCAGCTGTCCCTAAGCTACACTGAAGTCACTATACTAAATAAATTGTAGACCTGTACTTAAGCCTGATAAACTGATCCCACCAATAGGAAAACCAAAAGCAATACAGTGAAAGCAGAATTAACCACTACATAAAGATAATGCCTAGTCTAGGGAAAAAAAGAGCAATTATTACTGAGCTACGTGTGGAAAAAAGTTGTTTGCAGGGTGATCCATATATATTTGAGGTACGTGTAATGCACCTCAAATGCACTAGGTTTTGCCTTCAGGATTTTATAGCCCTGAGAGTGGGGAGCTGGGTTGGAGTTTGAGGCAGAAACTAATTTTTTTTTTTAAACCCTGGAATGAAAACTCTTTTCTAAGAGTAGTCTTGTTTGAAATCATTTAAAATAAGGGCTTAGAACTTGATCCCTATATGGAACACCCTGCAAGACCCTCCCTGTCCAGGTTTTTTTGCCTTCTCAGGATGATATAGCCAGGCCTGCTGACCATGTCTGCTCCAAAAGAGAGAGGACCAATGCGTTGTACTAATGGCACATGCAGAATTTACCTGTGCGTGTCAAGGCCACTGTTCAAGATGAGCTGGGTGCAGGCAGTAGGTTCAACAAAGCAGTGTGCCAGGCGTTTTGCCCGTGAAGAGCTGCTGCCACTAATAACGAACGTTTGCCTGGCACATCCAGCTGCCCAGCGGCCCGGGATGCCAAACATCCCAAAATGGGAGAGATGGGTGTTCGGTGCTGTTGAGCCACACTTCATCATTCCAATAGCTGTGTGCCAACCCATCAGCAGAATTAGCAGGTGTCTAGATCAAATGTGCCTGGACAAGGACATGGCAGGGGATGATGAAAGACAGCCAGTTAACATAGCTCTTAATGTCACCTTAAATGTTTCTTCCTCCTCTTTGTACACGGGGTCCTGTCTGGCCAGAGAAGTCACGAACTCGGCAGTCCTCAGTGGCTTTCTGGTCATCTGAAGGAGGCGTAGCTCGCTCAGGACAGCTTGCACTGCCTGGATGATGTGTCCCTGGGTGAAACCATCAGACACCTTTGCGAGGCAGCTTATGTTCAGCAAGTCAGTGATCGCTCCACCGTTCTGCAGGATGATGTGTTTCCATAACACTGTTCATCAGGACCCAAAAAAAGAGAGAATGCCAAAGACTGGCATTAAGGAAAGCAGGAGAAATATTTTTTTGCATTTTGAAATTGAAACAGGAAAATAAGGGATATCAGTCAGGAAAGCCAAGATTCAAATCCTTCTTGTTTGCTGTTTCTTTCATCTACAGGTTTGTACCTTAGAGGCCTTTAGGCACACATCTGTTCTTAAACCATTAGCGATCATTTGCTGGCTACTAGTCAGTACTTTTCAGAAAGTCATTAAGGGCACATGTGAGGTGGATATGTGTATAAAAAATGGAAAGAACTACTTCAATATGCCTGTGCGTATACACAGAAAGAGAACCCATCCAGAATGTTCCCATTTGAGTGTGTAGAGTTAAGTACCTATATTAACAGCCTGTTTTTCTTTCCGTGACCCTGATCACAGGTTACTCCTGCATGGGGACTCAATGTCTGGTTTGGAAGCCAAAGGCTTCCAGCTATGCAGGCACATGTTGTGAAGGCCGGGTGTAAATGTCTGTGATTGGCACTTTGCTCGCTAGCTAAATGGTGAACCTGTCAGTATCTTTTAGCCATGAACCTCTGTGACATGAAGGTTTCTTCAAGTTTGTGAGGTGCCTGAGATACTGCTTCCAAAAACCCCGATTTAATACAAGTAACAAACGTTTTTGTTTTATCCTCTGTGAAGTAACAGTCTGTCTCGAAGAAACTTAGTAAAACTTCCATGCCACCTCAGCATGCTTTCCTTTAAAGCCTTGTACAAAAACGTTTGGAAAAAATAAGAAGCATTATGCATAGAGATTAAGAAGGGTTTTGAATGAGACAGACAATTTGTGGTTTGAGTATCCTATGTTTGAATGCTCAAATGGGTGGAAAATCAATGGTACTGGCTGTTGGGATAGTTAACGTCATGGAGAAAACCTGCCTTACTCTTGCTCCGATCGCAATGTTGATAGTCTGGACTTGTGCCCATAACTACTGACAACTTAGTACTACGTTTTTCACTCTGGCAAACTGTGATCTCCCACTTGAATTATAACTATGCTCAATAATTACTGGCTGAATCACTAACTCATAGAAGAGGAACTGATGCATACAACAGCGAGTACTATTTCTGCACAGCCACATATTGTGTGCCACAGCTTCTGTTGCAGGTAGGATCATGCGTCTTACGAGATACTGACTTGGTGGGTGGTTGATAGCAAGAAACCAGTGCAGGTTTGTGGTTTGAGTATCCTATGTTTGAATGTTCAGATGGGTGGAAAGTCAACGGTCGTGGATGTTGGGACACAGTTCGATGGCTTTCATTGTGTGTTTGTTTCTGTCGTGCATAGATTGGAATATTCTGGTTTGTAGCAAAAGGAAGGATTGTAGCAGATGGGTAGCTTGTGCACCGTGGCTATGAATGTTTGTTATGTCACAGCTTTTCTGTGAAAACGAGTTTCTTCAGTTCTCAGATTGGGTGTCGGGCACTGAAAATTGTCGAGATTGGGACATGAGTGCTCTGTGCTGTGAAGATCGTATTTCCATTGAACTTGAGGGAAGGCTGGAGCTAAAGAACAAGCCTGGTGCTGTCTTAAATGGGACAATGTCAAAGAAGTAAAGCTATGAGTTTAATTGGCTTTAAGATGCCAAGAATTAACTTTTCTGGGCATTCCTAGGTTTGCAGTTGAAATCCCTTTGGCTGGCCCTTCCCCCCCCCGCCCCCCCTCCAAATTTGTGGTGAGAATCCCAGAATGTGACGGTTCAATCCCCAGAAGCGAACACAGCTAAATTCAGCTTCTATCACCTCCTTTCTCTAGGTCTTATTCATGTCTCTTATCTATTAGCAATTTATCAGAGCTGTAACATAACATGAAACACATGTTAGCTTGCTTAGGGACCACTTCCCATCCACACTATGGAAATTACTGCATGTGGGAGAGATTTACAATGTGCTAGGCAGTCAAAACCTGTCTTGAGCTTGCCCAAATGTGCATCATCTCAGTACCTTGGCTGCCTCCATGAAAGGCAGTATAAACTGGACTTCACAATACAGTTGCATGATTTTTTGTAACAAGGTGGCTATGTGGAGCAATACTGTAGTCAAGGTACAATTGTGTAGCGAGGTGCCTGAACTGAATGTGGTTTCCTTTACTACCATATTCTTCTGGGACATGATCCATTGGAGATGGGTGGCATGAAAGGAGTCCGTTTTCCTTGATAAGGTGATCAATAGGGATGCTCATGCTAGGAGCCTCTGGTAGAATAAACCCACCCTTGGGAGTCCTAACTCGAAGTGCTTGGTGCCATTCTCAATAGCCCCAAACCTCTTTCCCACATTCTTTTTGGCCTGAACCTAAATGGCCCTTCTGCTTACGAGTTGCCCCATCAGGCTCTTTAGTACACTTTGCTGAGTATTGAACTGCATGATATTGGTGATTAAACCGCAGGTAAAAAGACTATACTTCTGGGATAAAAGCCCTTCTACCAGCCACTTCTGAAGGATGTGGACAAACTACCATTTTTCTTGCAGTAATTGATTTGCATTATTATGCTTAATTGGAGCATTTCTTCCTAGTTTATGCTGAGCTATTGCGGACTTCAAGGTGATTTGAATCTGAAAACAGATTTGCATGCCTGAAAGTTTTTGGTTTTTTTCTATCCATGTAAGTTGGTCTAATAAATGATATGTTTTTTGTTACACATCCTTGACTCTTGGCGTATGGGGTCCTCAATGAATTTGTCAGACTTTGGGAGGGCCTGTCTATCACTAGTCGATAGACTAGACATGCAAAATCATGGATGTTTCTACAATTCCTCTCGTGATGTGCAAGTACAAAAATGGAACTCGATAGTGACAAAGCTCAATCTTCTAGACATGGCTCTGTTTATGGAGACACCCAAAGTGTTTTGTTTAGAGTATGGAAACTGGACAGGAATAACAGAAATTCAGAATCCTTGTGTAAAAAGAAAAGCTTAAAACACAAAGTGTGTATTGAAATAGGATCTTGTCCTTCCTAGAGTGAAAAAACAGCTTGGGATGAAGTCAGTGCATGCTAAACAACTCACGAGGAAATGTTAATCACCGCAGTACAGTGTTTTAAACCCTTCTCCCAACTTCCACTTTTATTATCTGGTATTTGGGGTAGCCTGTATGAGTATTACCTAAACTTTCAGGAACTGAAAATTTAGGCAATACAGAAATTAACTGGAAATCCATACCTGGGGTACAAACTGAGATTAAAGTCAGTTTTGAGGATAACCAGACAATAAGCATTGATTTTTAAACAGTAGTAATCAACAAGACTGCTTGAAATACTTGCCAAATCTTGAAGCGTAGTCAGGCCTAGGAATCAGAATAATTTTTTGGTATACTTTGCAGAAAGGTTTAAGATTAGCGTCGAAGGGACGGTTGGTGGTTCCCACCAGCAGCACTCTGTCCTGTGCTTTCAAAGCCTTAAGGAATTTGGGGAGGACCTTTTCCAGTCGTTTTGGGTTCATCTTCAGTGGGTACATGTAAATACAAGGAGGAAAGAGTTGTTATTGATGCTGACAGTTTAGAGTTAATGAAGTTGTATGTAGACATGCTACATAAAACAGGATTCGGTGCTTTTATTTAGTAGTCTAGTTGCATTTGGTATAAGCAGACTAGATGCTCAACCCAAGTAGGAAGCCTCTGTCTTTTGAAAGTCAGGTAAATACTTGATTTCTGCTTCTGTATTTATGGGTTTGTGCTAGTGTCTTTCACACTGTTGAGTTTGCTGGTCCTGTTACTGAAAAGCAGGAAGGAAACAACTCATTTAAAGATGGAAATCCTGCTTTCCAGATGAAGGAGAAATATTGCTTGGACCTGTGTACCTGACAAACCTTAATGGATAGAAAAACTGCCAGGGTATGCGACCTGGCGTGGAATCCTCTCAGCTCTTGGAGGTTATGATCTACCAACTCCTACCCATGGCTTAAATGTGGAAAAATACACTCCCAAATTTTTGCTGAGTCTCTAACCTGAGAACACAAGCTCTTTGAACTCGGGATTCATTTCTTTGCAATAATTTACTATTTGGCTTCAGAACAAATGTTAAATATTTGTTTATAGAACTGATGAGTATTGAGCAAAACCTGTTATTGGATAGTACGTTTGATAATGTTTGAGTGAATATCGGTTGGAGAAGTTTAATGAAATTGCTGTGGCGTTACTCTACTGTTAATAAAGCTGTAAGTGAATAACTGGGTTAGGATAATGTATTGTATTCAGAGAAGTCTAATGACCTGGAAGCCTCTTTTCAGAAATGATTGAGACTTAACATCCAAGTCACCCACGCTCACTTGAAAGTCTTACTCTAGATCACGCTGTAACTTTTTTTACCTATACAGTAGGCAGCTCCCTGGGAAACTTGAGCCTCAATTTCAGACCAGTCTCCCTTAATGCCAGTAAGGAAGAAACCATGTCCTGCAAACCTTCTCCGTTGAAAGGCAATAATAAGCACCTATGAATCTACATTGCATGCAGAATCTTTGTGATGCAGTTTTTCTGTTGCCTGCAGTAGCAGACAGCTGACAGAAAGGAGACAAAGCTCTGTTCTTTGGAGTGAAAGCTACAGAGGAGGGGGAAATTGGGAAATCGGTAAGAAATCCTCAAAGTCTTGGGAGTAGAGTCACACAGTTATTTTCCAGCTAAACTTGTCTTAATTGCAATATGTCTGTTTTCTCATTCTTTTTATTCTCATGGCCATATTGTGCATCTTCCTAAGTTTGCCAATTGCTTAATCACGCTAAGGAGTTAAGCATGTCTTAGCACCGGGGCTTAGGTCCCGCTTTGGAGCGTGGACAGGTTGCTTGCCGGGATGATACATCCAGATCATGTTTTTGCTCTTGGATGAACTATTCCTATGGCCAGCTGCTATCTTTTCACCTCCTCCTTGTTGTGCCTACGCACCCAAGGCTCCCAGGAGGGCGGGATGCCTGTGCTCGCTCCCAAAGACCGTGCCTTGTAAAGCACGGTAGGTCTGCCCTGGAGCAAAGGAGAAATCTTGGCTTTTCCCTTGCTTGGAAAGAAAGGGTGTTGTTCTGTCCAGGCCCAAACAGTGCATTCGCTCTTTGAGGGCACAACTTCAAAGCCCAAGCCCTTATCCAAACTTTGCCATTCCCTTGTTGGGAAGTTTTTGGTAATGAACTTGGCTTCTCTGATGATTAAACAAGCTGTTGTTACCTTGGAAATTTTAGCCAACCTTGCCACCTTTGCTCTGCTAGGGAGATCTGGTCACAGCAATGACCAAAATGTGGGTTTACTTGGTTTTTAACACATTTCTATTCTGGCTAAATTACCCTCTGATTTTCTGTTGCTATTCATAAGCTTCAGGCTTTCCTCCTCTTTGTGTGCATTGTAAGGAAGAACAAGTGTTCTCCAAGATGTTTTGAGATGTCAATATTGCTAGAAAAATGAGAATTATCAAATTTGGGTTTGGAGGTGTGTGGGGGTAGAGGAATCCCATCTCACTGACATGACTGATAGAAGATAATACTTGCTTCAAGTGAGACATGGTGTCTTCTGGGCTTGCAGTATCTTTCTGCTGGAAAAACTGACTCCATCAGGAGATGCAGAGAGTTGTCTGACTCCTATTTCACCTTTTACTTGTGAAATAAGTCCTAAGTTATCCCTAGCATTTAGAACACCTTTTTTTTTTTTTTTTTTGGGGGTGACAAATGATATTCATGGATTGCCACTGATCTAAAGTTGGTTACAACCAGGGCTCATTGCTCAGCTTGTAGGAATTTAAAAATTTAAATGATTGAACCAGTATCGGAGACCAAGCTAAACACTCCACTCACGTTAAGCCCACTAAGCTGGACTGGCAGTTGTGTGTCAGCGGCTCCTGTTATGCTTGTGAAACTAATGTGTGTCCATAGCACACACATTTCAGGGATGTGTCCTGAAAGCTAATAATACCTCCTCCACTTTGAAAGAAATGTGTCAGCAGCAAGAAGGGCTGTTGAAGAGGCAAGCTATGATTTCAGCCATCGTGTGGACCTGAGCTGGAGAAAAGTGGGGTGAATTGTGAAGGTGACCCCTATTTGTTTAACTAGGAGTAGCTGAGCTGCTTTGCACATCATCCTCAGCAACTGACTTTACTGTAATGTATTTGCTATTTGACTCTGCATCCTTTGGGGAGGACTGGAGAGAGACTACTCTTCTAGTGGGTATTTGAAGAATTTGAGGCTGCTTTTTACCAGGTTCTTGGTCATGGTGCCAGAAATGTTACACTGGGATGACCAAAGTGACTTCCACTCGCTTTGGCTTCTGAGGGCTGAGCTTAGCTCATCTTCTCCAAAATTTTAGTGGAAGGCTTCCCAGACTGCCAGTTACCACTGTCTGTCCCTCCAGTTTCATGCTCTCTGGTTCCAAATATTGATTATGCTGTGAACTACCTTGGGCATGAGTGATTTCAAGCATGGAGCCATCCACTCCCACCAAAAACACGAGACCTTTTGTTAAATACCTGCAGGTCTCGGGATGTGGTAGCAGGGGCAGAGGTGATATCCCTGAGGATATCAGAGGTGGGCAGGGTGAGAAATTTTTCCACGTTGGTGGCTATCGAAGCAGACTAAGATCATGATTATGCCAGGCAATCTTTGGCCCCTAGTCTTATTTTTTTTAATTCCCATCTGCACTTGCTGTCAAGGTTTGAGCCAGAGAGAAAGGTTCCCTTTTGGTGTGGGGATGACTAAAGGGCATCAATCACTATGCACCCATCAGCTCATATAGCCCTCGGAAGCGACAGCCTCGTCCAAGGTGACGCTTCATCGGTCTTCGAAAATACAGGCTTGTGTCCATCCCATGGTCTAAACACACAGGACTCACCTTAAGAAAAAAAGGTTTAATTTTTCACCTGGAGCTGTAAAAGGAAAATATTTTGCAAGCAGCATGAATCTAATCAGGATTTCAGGTGAATTGCTCTCTGCTGCAGTGGCTGAGTTGCTGTGCCCATTGGGCAGTGTTTTAATTTTCTTTCTAGTGGGGAAGCTACACAGGAGAGGAAGGGATGGAAGCAATGGCAATAGGACTCCTGGGAGCCCAAAGAAAATAATCTGTAAACGTAACTATTTAACATAGGTTCCTTTGTTTTCACAGTGGAAATTTATCCTTGTTACTTTATTGTTCACTTTGGCTCCATCCAATTTCTCAAATTAATAGAGCTGAACAATTTAAGCTCATCTTAACTTTTAGTTTCTTGCCTCATGTTTTGAAATTCTCCATTATCCTCTTCTACTTTTCAGTGCACTGATGAGCAGTGACTGGACTATTTTTAAATAAAGTATAGGTGGAGGAGAGAAATGCGACCTCTTGGGGGCTCTTAAGAAGTCACAAGACTCTCTTAAAAGAAAGAAATGTTAGTGAGACAAGCTATTATCAAGCAAGCTTTGGCAGGTCTGGTCACACTGGTATGTGCTAAGCTAAGAAATACACTTGTCCCTTTGTGTTGGCTGTAATGCAACAGGCAAAATTATCTGCACTGGAACAAAAAAAGGAGCAACTCGCCTCTTCAGCCTTCGGCACTGCTTTAGCAAATATTTTTTCTGTGTCTCCAATCCACACGACTGAAGGCTGCAATTGTTTAGCCACCTAAGAGAAAATGGGGGAGAGAAGGCAAGAAGTTGATTAAAATGGCTACAATTTCATACCTGGGTGCTTACAGTTATGCTTTTGAACCTGTATTTCAGCAGTTAAAATTAGCCTGGTTTATTTTTTCCCAGAAATGCTCAGCACTCACAGGTAGCAACCGGATCTGCTCAGCAGTCTTGGCAAATGAAACCATTTCTAGTTAAGAATCTAACATTAAGAACGCAACCCAACTGGATCATTTTGGCTGCTCTGCTTACGTTGCATTTCTCAACTCAAAATTCAGTTGCAGTTCTGCAAAAGGAAGCCTGAACTTGGAGTTCAATGGCATATGACAGACCACCAGCAGCTTTAGGCTGGCTGCCCTGCCCGCAGGACCCCTCCCTGGTTTTCCAAGGGCAGTCCAGATGGGGAGACGGGCAAGATGTGGCTATTGCGTGAGAAACGAGGGTACTAATCTTTAGGAGGCTGATGTGCAATCCTCTGGCTTACAAAACAGCATTGACTTTGCAGTTAGCCCAAGAATGAAAACGGAAGCCGCTAAATTTGAAGAGGGAGGTGGTCTGTACAAATGGGCTTTCTGGCTCCAACGGCAGAGGCACTATACCTCTAGTTCACAGCAGGATGGCAGCAATGCTACAGACTTCTTCACATCTTGCGCTCTCCCTATTGCTATAGAAACGCCAGTGGTTTAGACATTTTCCTGCCAAATTTTAATCACTTTCCAGTGGCTCTGAGAGCTGTGCTAGTTTGCTCAGCAACAGAAGTGATGGCTCAAGGAGTCAGCGGGCAAAGAGAGAGACTGCATTCTTCTGCCCTGCTTTTTTTTTTTTTCTTTCCCCAGCTGAATCTGCTGCTTCCAGGAAGGAAGCCTACAAAATCGATCGGTTGTGTACATCAGTGAGCTCAGTGTTTGACTGACAGCGAGTGTGACAAGAATTAAGTCCTGAACATATCTCTTCAAAGCACCACAGTTCATTTTTATGGAAGCATTTCGAAAGCGCCAAGTGTGCGTGTATGTCTCTACAGTAAAAATGGACTGACGATAAGGGGAAAAGAATAGTAGGTGAGGGCTATTAAACTTGTTTGCTCTGCTGTGCTGGTTATGGGGTGAAGTGGAAACAATGCCATCTTCGGCATGTGATGCTTTATTTGCGGTAACTCATCAGTCCTAGAATATGTCAAGTGGTACCTCCAAGTTCAGAATGGCTTTGCTGAGGAAAACTGAGCTTTTTCCTTTGTTGGAAGGCAGGAACTCAAATGTTTAGCCTTAATAATGAGGATCTTTCTTAAAAAAAAAAAAAAAAAAAAAAAAACCCCGCCGACTTTGTACCATGAAAGATAATATGAAAATCCTGAAGAAACTGAGGTGTGGACCTAGGCAGTTGTGTGAATGTTTATCTGCATGTACAACTTAAGGGGTAACTTCTCACTCCAGCAGTGTATCGAGTATGCAAGCTAGCTGGACTGAAATGGCAGATTAAAACTGTACAGCGATAATAACTGCCATTTTAAAGCCAAATGCTTTTTTAATCTGTCCTATTTATCTATTTTCAGAGGTATGTTTGGCATATTCCTAAGACGGCACACACTCCTCAAGGTACACTTGAGAGGGCAAGCATGTGGCTTTCACTGAACTGAGCTGTGCAGCAGCCTTAGACTGGGGTTTTTTCTGCTGAGTATCCTGCTAGTCAAGGGCTCAGACACCTGCATAAAATGCAAGTCAGTCCTACTGATTTGATTTGCTCTTGCAGGTGAATTCAGTTAGCTGCTGGATGTCTGCAAACAGGCTTGGAGACAAGTGGTGAAAGAAGAATAATCTGGTAGAATGGTCATATAGCAGAGACAGGATAACTGATATTCTTTTGTATAGTTAAGACTTGGAAAGGAAAATGTAGGTTGAAGTTGCTAAAAGAAACCTACAGCTTCTGAAAGAACTGTGTTTGCATTTGGTGCAATGAAATCTATTGTGACATGTGGAAACTCCGTCTGCGAGACCCGTACTGAACTCGGCACCGTGAACGAATGGATGATCAGCTGGGGCTTCTGATGTTTCTGACCATGACTTTTACCTTCTGAAACATGAGATAACAACCATTTTTTTTTCACTCACGCTCTTTGCGTCCCTGGAGAGGATGTTGGGAGGGAGGTGAGGCAGTGGGAGAGTGTTCCCCTTGAAGCCTGCCTTTCCCCCAAGTGAAGGTTGGGCTGGTGGCATGCTGTCTGCTCAAGTTTACGGGCCATGTGTGCATGTCCATGCATGACTACTCTGACAGACTCTGTCGCCGTGGAATCTGTCGTTGTTGTGGTGCTTTCTTCCTGCTTCACTCATGGTTACGACCGAAGAAGTGCTGTGCATCTGCTTTGTAAGGAGAATAGCCATCTTCTGCTATTTTTGCTTTGTGAGGTAATGCAGCTGTATGAAGCCTGGGGAGCTGCGTAGCTGCAATATATTCTTGTATACAATTGTGTATATGCAATATATTCTCCATACCTGTGTGTCTGACGCTGCAGTGCGATGTGATGGGGGAGTAAGGATGGGGAAGGTTACAGAGGCTATAAAAGCTGCTGGCAATGATTGAACTCTGCTTGTGTACTTCAAAGGGAACCAGGTTGCCCTCTCGGTGGGACCACTGCCGTCGGGGATGTGCAGATCCTCCCTGTGTGGTTTGGAGATGGCTTCTGTATTTAGCAGCCCTCTAAAATGGAGCCTTAAGTTTTAATTGGACTGTAGCTTCATTTTTACCTCTTAAGGAAGAGTGCTCACCATTTTCACACCTGTAGCTGTCGTCTTTTTTTTGGTCCCCTTCATTTCCCCACCCAGTAAGTAGAAATAAAATGACTAAGCTCAGTTCTGTGCGTTTCTTAGAAATATTCTCTCTATTTGGGGCTGGCTGCTTCTCTTTTTAAAGACAGGTCAGACACACAGAATTCACTGGCACCTAATTTAAATTGTTGGCAGATACATCACAGGCTGTATATCCCCCCGCCACTCCCCACAAAAGTGCTTCATTTGAATTACCCATGGACAGTTTGAATCCATGGATAATTAAATGCACTGTACATAATAAAATTTCAATTACAAATTAATTAGCTTTGCTGCATTCAACAATTTGTCGGAGCTGCCAGCAGATGGCTCCTTAACCCTTCTAATACCACACTGAGCCAGCAGCCGCCTGTGAACCATGCTCTGGTGGGTCACAGAGGCTTGAGTTGCTCTTCAGGAAAAATGATTCTGGGGGAAAAAAAAAAAAAGGCGGTCTGGCAACATTCAAAGATCAAACAGCATTTTTGGAAAGCCTTGGGTTAAACTTTTCAAACCTGAGAGGCAGGGTTGAACAGGTAAATTGCTACCCTTGGAAAATACAGAAACTTGATTCTTGCAGGGCATATGTGCACAAGGTTCCTCCAAACTTGAAGGCTTTGATGGAATTTTTTTGAAAAAGCTCAAGACTAAGATTCTTCTGGAAGCTCAAGTCGTTGCTGAAAACTGCTCAATAGTCTGTAGTTTATATTCACGGAAACGCTTCAAAGCAGCTAAAGCAGCAAGATGCTGAAACCTGCAATTAGACCTTATGTGTGGGAGCCTCACCAGGCGAATATTCCAGTGCTACAGCGATGCTGCTGCTGTGTTCTGGTTTGCTAGACAGAAAATAACTATAAATACTGTCCTCCAGCAGGATGCATTTAATTTTTAGATATTGGAGTAACACAACTTAAAGCTGCTTTGTCACAGAAATAACCCTTCAAGGGTCTAGGCTTCTAGCAGGCTGAACTGCACCAAGAGAGAAGAATTGCTCTGGGATGCCGGGAGCAAAGGCTGACTGTACTGTTCCCAAATTTCAACTATAATGGAAGAGTCTTGTGTGGCATGAAAATGCTAAATACGCAGAGACTTCTGTCGGTGTGCTAGGGTAAACTGTTCCCGATTCTGCAGACTGCCAGAAAAATGACCTGTCTGAAGGGACAATACAGCAGTATTGTTACGAATAAACGAACCTGATTCAGTGGAAAAAAATTAATGACAGACTTCAAAATGATGTTGCTTCTAAAAGCTGGGGTTATAGCATTTAACCTTAAAGAAACTCCATCGTATTCCTTCTTCGGTATAATGCTTTCAGTCACCTCTGACTTGCTAAATAGCCTGATAACAGAGTCTCCTAGCAGTGATGGTGTTGAAATATTCCTGTAGCTTTGCTGCTCTGTACAACTCCTTGTTCAGCGAAGACGGCTGCACAGCACACACTGAGCTGTTGATACACGTACCCGACTTCTCTGCTGGTATTTCCTCCCGGCCACCTCTTTCCCAACCTTTTAGCCTGGTCAGTGTTGCACTAATAACACTTTCCCATGTGTGGCTTTCTGTACAATGTGCGTTCTGTGTGCTGCTGTGGCCCTGGCAAAGGACCCGAGAGGGGCTGCCTTGCTCTGGTAGTGATTAACCTGATGGCTGCCTTATGGTTGCTAACGGAAGGCTCGTGCTTGCCACTTTTATTGCCTCGGAGTTAAGCCTCATGAACTACCTGCACTTTTACACTTCTGCGGCACAGAGTTATGCCTTCTACCTCCTCGAGCCTTTCTGGATTTTTGTTTCTGTGCGTCCTTCGCTATCGTTCTTTGCATCTTCTATATAAGCTGTTGCACTGCAGCAGCGTTTTGTGCCGTGACGGGAAGACGGAAGAGCCAAGCCATCGGTGGTACAAGCTGGCTGAGAGCTCCGCTGCGTTCAGGCTGGCTCAATACATGGAAAAATGTGGCTTAATTGAAATATTCCAATATGTTCTGGTTCACGCTTGAAGGACGCGTTTTTTGTTTTGAGGACTGCTGGGAAGCCCTTCTATATTAGAGACAGATCCTCTCTTTTCACTCCACAGCAGAGCTGACCTGGCAGGCTTTGCTGTGTCTTTGTGGAGAACACAAGCGCTCAGGCTTGGTGTTTGCAGCTTCTTTCAATAGTTTTCCTATTCAATATTAATCTTCCTTGCATTTCCTTTGAATAGGCAGATTGAAATGTCGGTGTTTTCCTGTTCTGGTATGAGAAGTCATTTCCTCCGTATGCCATTTAAAATGCCTGCATTGAGTAACACACAAGCCTCTCTTTTGGATCAGGGCTGGTATGTCTCTTGCAAGTCTCCTCCCTGAAATAAGGGGGGGGTGCGGAAGAATTTGGCTCTTGCATCTGAAACAAATTAAAGTTTCATTTTTTCCAATGCTATTCACTTGTTTAGGGTGTCTCCCACGAAACAACTGCCAGCGGCCAACACTCGGTTATGGGCGGAAAGTTTCCTAATGGTCATTTTATGCTCTCCAGAGTTTCCTTTCATTACAGGAACTCTGTTGTTTGCAGATGCGATAGGTGATCAAAAGTGCAAGGTTACTTCACCTTTATCACAGAGCACCATTAATTCTTATTTACTAAACCTTGGTGTTTAACGATGGTTACATGGACTGTGAGATAACAGAAAAAGAACTGTCATGTTTCCTGTCATTCACTTAAAATCCTAAGTGGAAGGTCTGTATTCTGCTGGACTAACTCTGTATCAAGGCAATCCTGGAAAGCTGGAGTAGAAAGCTTGCCTGACAACAGCCACAGCTGCTGTTTGCAAAAAAAAACATGACCAGAAGTGTCTGGTTATGGAGACGTGGTGAATCTTTCGGTGATCATCTGCATGCAAGGCACTTTAACAAGGTGTACTATGGTGTGTCAGCTAGTGGACTGTGAGAGCTGCGACTATTAAATACTGCATGTCAGCTGCAAGGTACCGTTTGCTTTCATGGCTTGTCTGCTATACATGCCACCGTATATTGTAGTCTTCCAATAATGTTTCCATAAGACTTTTTTTTTTTACCATGGTGAAAAATAAACTTTTTTTGGGTAAATACCAGTGTTTGGCTTCCTCTTGTCAAGCAATTTGTTTTCAATGTGTATTGCCCTTGTGTTTGCTTCAGCCTGGGTAATGGTAGATTCCTGCAAATCAGGATATGAAAGATCCCTTATCCTTTGATTCCTTGGGAAACTTTTTCCCTTAACATACAAGAAATTTCCTTTGCTACAACTTGTGTCCATTGCTTCTTGTCCCGTCGCTGTGCACCTCTGGGAAAAGCCTGGCTCTGTTCTCTGCATTATCCTGTGAAGCCCCTGGGAACAGCAGTTAGACTCCCTCTTGCTCCAGCCTTCTCTTAGGCTGAAACGACTGGATTTGTTCGGCTTGCCTCATGTGCACCGGCCTCCTTACCTTCATGGCCCTGCAGCAGACTTGCTTGCTTGTAATACTGTTCTGTAACAGGGTAGCCCAGTACCGGACACAGTGTCTGGCTGTAGCCTCAGAAGTGCTGAATAACTAATTGCTTTCAGAGGTTGGCTACAGTCTTGCTGGTCTAGGCCAGTATTTGGCTGATTTTTTGCTGCATGACTGTGCTGTTGACTCATGTTCAACTTGTTGTCCTCAAGAACCCCAAGCCCTTTCCTGCAAAGCTGCTGCCTAGTCAGTGGGCTACAGCCTGGACCTTTTTGGGCTGCTGCATGGAGTTTACTCCATTCCGGGTGCAGGGCTACGATACTGGACGGGAGCACTGGATGTTGTAAAGAAGCAGCGACCGATGGCAGGACAAAGAGAATGGATGGCTGTGGCAGGGGCTTGGGAGTTGCCAGACACAGGGAAAGTGAGACATATCTGGCGCTGTCAAGACTTTAAAAAAAAAAAAAAAAAAAGGGATTGTAACTGCAGAGGTGTGGGTGGAGGATTGCTCCCACCCTGGCTCTCAGAACCCACAGAATCTGAGTTGAAATCATCAGTGGGTTGGACAAATCGGTGACTTGGCCATGGGGACAGAAGGTGGCAGGTAGAGGCGAAACAACCAAAGCAACCGGGAATGGAAGTTGAATGTAGTTGATGTGAGTGATGTGGGGATGGGCTGCTGTGATGTCAGTATGAATTGGCGCAGAAATGAGCGTGCAGATGATGTATCCCTTGGAAGGAGACACTCTGTGCTGCTTTCCCCGTGGTTAAGCCAGCAAGAGTTTGAAGCAGTACTGCTGTTGCAGTTGGAACAAGTCACCTTTTGATAAGTAAGTGCCTGGACAGTCCTTATTCCACGTGATTGACTGCGAGCAACTTCCATGCCGGTACCTCGCGGAGGTTCACCGAAGTGTCATTGCTTCTTTCGTAAGAGCTACAGCAGAGAAGTAAGCTTGGACCGCTCCCTGTAATTTTGGGGGAGTTGTTGGATAACATTTCTATTTGTTCGTAAGTAATGTAAAAAAATTTAAGGGTTTTTATATACTTGTATCTAGGCTTATGTACCTATATATAATGTATATATATACTTTGTGTATCTAATGTGTATAGATATACACATCTTACGTATGTTCCAGTTATTGTATATATCCCATATACATGTATACAAAAAACCTTAATGTCTTCAGCTGGAACCTTCTATAGGAGTAAAAAGGCTGCCCTCCTTTCTCCTGCGTTTAAAGGCCTTGTGCTCCAGCAGGGACTAAACGATGGAAAAGATGGTGTGTGTGTGCTGTGTCTGCAGCCAGACGTCTGCTTTGCTCTTGATGAGGGCAGAGAAACTGAGTGGAGATGGGTGAAATGTGCAGAGCGGAGGGAGGAGAAGGGAGTATTAGCTCAGTCTAATGGCACTAGCTCGTGTCAGGGAGCGCCAGACCCGGTGTTAGCGTTACGGCATCAAAGGGGCACGATCACAGCACCGTCGCTTTTCCTTAGGCGCTGCTCTGACCAGCAAGAAATAGGGTCCTCGGAGATGGCTTTGCTTTTAACTGTGAAACCTGTCTTTTCTGGGGATGGAGGCACCTGTCACAAAACCTGCTACAATGCTGGATTTAATAAAATACATCTGATAAATCCCAGGGAAAGCCAATTTGAATTCAGTCTTTTAGTAGGCCTCTGGCACTAGAAAAATATTGTATTTGGCTTTTTTCTAGTGTATGTGCTGTGTTTTTTCTTTCTGAGAGTATTTTGTCTGGAAATGTTTACCAGCTTCCTTCCTTAGCAGAAATGCTGAGGACTTAAAATGTTAGAAGAAATCCTGCCAGGATGGTGTCCTCTTTTTTTTTTTTTTTTTTTTTTCTTCTAAAAAGTATTTGGGATATGTTCTTCACAGTTCATATGCCTTCTTTCATTTCCAGACTTCTCATACATTTCTGTTAATGTAATCCTGAACTAGGATTCCCTCTTTTGAAAAGCTTGCTGATAGGTAAACAGAGAGCAGTATAGAGCGAGCTGTTTTAAAGCAACAGTCCCAGAGAGGAAATTTTTGACCACCCCCAGTCTCGTATTTCATTAAATGCTGCATGGCAAGCATTCCTGACTGATGTGCATATAAACAGAGAACAGAATTTTCTTTATCTATGATGTTTTTCATATTCAAGGTAACACAAAGCTTGCATAAATGTTAATGTGAAAAATATGGGTACTACGAGCGCTTTCTCAAGGGGCATTAAATCCTCCACAGTGGTGCACACACTGGCTGTCAAAAAATGGTTTTGAAAACTTGGAAGCGGGGAGGGAATTTTAAACTGGGTTGACAGTCCTTTGGACCTTGGGCAGCTTTGCCCTCGTATGACTGGTGTGTATGTTCCTCTGCCTGGAGGAACTGCAGTTCAATTCCCTATTTGTTCCCCAAAAGATGTGATGAACTGAGCCAATTTTGTAGAGGAGTGGACAAAACACAGTACCTTGAGAACCATGTGGAGCATCATTTGCAGGCCATTTTTGCCTGGGTATTTCCCAGCAATGTTGGAAGCAGATAAGTTGAAGAGGTTGGCTCCTGTTTCTGTGCAGATGGCATGGACCAACATTTTCTTTCCAACACCAGCAGGTCCAGCTAGTAACAAAGCTTTCACCAAAGGAGCCTTCTCATGGACTGTTTGGGAACCTGCAAAAAGTCATACAGCACTATTATTACTTTCATCTAAGTCTGCCATAAAGGTAGTGGAATGATTCTTCCTTTTTTCTTCACCATAAATAATTTATAATGTGAATTTATTGTTTCCTTAATAAGGCACAAGTGCTCTTGAGTTCAATTCTGTATAACCAGAGCTGTGACTATAGCACATTTGAGTTAACAACCCTGCTTGTAGCAAAACTCAGTCGCCCTTAACGGTACCTTCTGACAGGCAAACTTCAGCTCTAAATCTACGCAAGCTAGAAGAATGGTATTTCATGAGTAATCTTTGATTACATTACATTACCAGGGCACAAGGTAAGAGCACTGAAGCAGAACTGCTGCTGGTGGCTGCATGTACAGCCAAGCCTGGTGCTCTGCACAGGGACGGCTGCCTTGCCTCGGTGTCAGGCAGAGTTGGAGATGTACCTCTGGCTTTAGCTTTGCATTTGTTGTCAGAGCAGGTTCTCGCTTTCTGCAATGGGACGAGGGCGTAGATTCATGTTGCGCGTAGGACTAGCAGAATTCCTTCCTCCTGCTGTCTGAAATGACACTTTCCAGCTTCCCCATCTTTACAGAAAAACTAAGGGGACTCTCTGTTGGAGCTGCATTTGTCAGTGATTTTGAAACCAGGTGTTACCATGTGTGGTGGTTTTAATCTCCTCCAAAGAGAGGAAACAAAAATCCTTTGCTGCTGTTAATGCTCTCTAGGCATGCCTGCTGAGTGTAGTGTTAGCTTATCCACGGAGCAGCTAATGTTGTTCCCCAGTCTGGAATATGGCAGCTGCATCAAAGCAGGTATAATATATCTGCTAGAAGGAGGATTCTTTTTTGTTCCTTCATTTTATTTGGGTGAGCGAATGGCAGGGTTGCTGTGCTTTGCTTGCTCTGCCGGCAGTGATGACTGCTCAGCATTTCTGAAGCCATCTCTATGGCTGCTCCAGGTAAACTCGTTCTGGGCTGTAAGAAATATGCTCCATCACCTGGGAAAGCCTAGCAGAAACGCCTGCGTTGTGAAAACGTGAACCAGAGAGAGATTTAGGTAGCTGATGGTGATAGAACTTGTCTTCCCTGCCGCTCTGTCACTGTATGAATTGGGTGCAGGTGAACCTCTGGAGATGGAAGTAGCAGGGAAGGCCAAATGTGTTACCATACCCCCTGGTAGTCCAGTAACATCACTGCCTTGATGTCTAAAAACGTCCTGTGTCAGTAGTGGTGGTTGTTACAAAGCCAGATCTTCAAATCTGTGTGAGCATCCACTACTTCTGAAGGTCTTTGAGACTGGTGTATATTGGACTATGGGACTCGGGGGAAACCAGCCCCGAAAGTGATGGGTAGTGGAGGGAGCCTACAGCTTAGTCTGGAAAAGTTCTCTAGGTTAAGGAGGACAGCTAGGTAGGAATGGTATTTGAAACCAAATCCAATCGGGCTGCCTATCTGTGTCCTAATGGTTTAACATCCCAAATAAATGACAAGAGACTGAGTGCTACGATGAATGCCATTATTTCAGCGCTGTGCAGGATGTAGTGAGGTTGTCAGCCACCCAGGCTTTATTAATATTTGGTCATTTCATACCAATCTATTACTATTACACATAGATTTATTATGAGGGGAGCAGCGGACTCCTCTGTGGTTAAAGATGAAGTATATCTTCTACTATTATTTCTCCTTTCAGCTGCTTATAATTTTCTCAATGCTATTTAAGCTGGAGCTTTCCTTGCCATCAGGTGACCGACCATTCTGAGAAAAACTCTCCCTTCTACACATACACAATTACATAATGATTAACTAGTTCTGAGGCCAATTAAATAAAATGTCATCCACAACATATCACCCAAAAGGAGAAAGCATTCCTGTGCCTTTTTTTGGCTCATGCAGTATCTTTTTTTTTAATCCAAGGTGGTTTTCAAACTGCTATTGCAAATACATTCTGTTTGTTTAAATAGTCCAGGATGTCTTCTCCTTAGATTTTTAGCCAACTGTATAAATGGCGGACAACTTATGAGTTCTCTTTCTTCTTGCCTTGGGGGGGTGTCTTAGGGCTTGATTTCCCTAGATTAGGTGGTGTTAAAACATAACCTTGGAGGAGTTATCCGAGATGTGAAATACCTCAGTGCAGACAGGGATAACTGCTGAGCTCGCTCTCAGCTGATTGTGGTCAAACTCGAAGCCAACCCCTGAGGGTTTAGCTAAAACCAGCTGACAGTGTCTTGGGTGGGAAGAGCCCCATCTAGGCTGAAGGCAGGGATGCTGCCAGCATTCCGTTTAACCTGACTCTTCAGACTGAGCTATGGGGCAGAATGAGTGCTCTTCTCTTCCTGAAACCCAAATGAAGCAGACTTGTGGGCTACTGCACCAAGCTTTCTACAACACATCGAGCCCGCTTCGGGGCGGGGGGAGCCAAGAAATGCCTGAGGAGACAAGAAATGTCTCTACACATGTAGAGAACAGCCCGAGTACCGGCCTTTCTGGACGGCGTGCAAGCGCAAGGGAAAAGCAGCAGCTCTGTGTCAGCTTTGCTCCGTTTGCCAGAATGGGAGGCAGGGAGACTGCTCAGCTATTTCGCCCCATAAAGTGGATGAGCAGACAATGACACAGCCTGGGGGAGGATATGCCGAGTTAAAATCTCCCCCAGATCCAATCAGGAATGGAAAAGGATGCAAACGAAGTATGAGTAGAGGCCCTTGAGACGGGCGCTTCTTGCAATCACTAGAGTTTGGCTTAATGCCAGTCCCAAGTAAAATATGGGATAGATTTTACATTAAAAGCAAACAACCCGACCCAGCAAAGCCTTGTTAGGTACTGGCTAAGTCTGGCATTAAAACTGCAAGGGTATTTAAAAGTGTTCTTTCTGATGTACAAAATGTATCCAGAGTAATTCCTTAAATGATTGCATTGTTTAGTACTGAGTAACATTAGCCAGCTTGTAAAAGGTAAATTGCAACCTTAACCCTTCCCTTAACTTGATTAATTTTGATCACTGGAGCTTGTTTTAGCTATTATCTTTCCCAAGTGATTTCCTTTTATGTGCTGCCATTCACAAACTGTTAACATGCAAACAGAGATGGTATGGAAATGCAATACCTGACAATAGCATGTGCAAGCTCCTTTATGCACTATTAAAATGATACGGTCTTCGCTCAGAAGGCTTAATTGAAAAACAATTATACTGCAAAATGCTTTAGATTACGATTAATCAAGCCCTGTCAAAGCCAGTAAAAATGCATGTTACTGACAGGAAGCAAAGCCATTGTGTTCTGCCCCGCCAGTAATTTTTGCTGTGCTCTTACCTAATGGCAATATTCCATACAGCGCTATTAGCTGTCTGACATCTGCGAGAGAGGGCATTGGCTCTCTATCTACCTGACGAAGTGTGGTCCCCAGATAGCTGTACTCGCCTGTAGGGAGGAAGCATGGGCTTAATAAATGTGACACTGCATTGTTACAAAATGCATAACTCAAGTAACGAAAAACTACCATGGAATACCAATATAACGTGCTCTCGGCAAACCCAGCACCGTCAAGGGACGGGGACTCAGACAGGGCAGTATCGTTGTGGAATGTGGCCCTGAGAAATTTCAAAGGTGAACTGCAAAGGAGAATGAAGTTAAACACAGGGTGGACTTTCCCTTCCAGACTGTGGAAAGTGTTCAGCAGAGCAGTCGGTCTCGAGTAACCTTTTAAAGAAACTTTGTGGAGAAGACTCATTAGTAGCACCATAAATCACAGTGCTGGCAAAGGATTTTCTAGATTTGGGATTCTGCAGGGCTGGAATCCCAGTGAACCATGCTCTATCAAAAGGATTTCAAAGAGGAGGGGAAAAGATATTTTTAACAAGCGTTTCCCTTGGCTGCATCACATCTCAGCTTCTCACTATGCTAGACATGTCAGTGTGTCACCTAATTTGGTGGGGCTCTTTGCTTTGCAGTTCACCTTTTTGTTAAAAAAAAAAAACACCACCACCACCCCCCCCCACCCCAACAAAAACCACCACCAAACCTCCACAAAACAACCTGAGAGAACTAAAAATCCCTGCCATGAACTGAAACGATCTAATCTTGCCTCGGCTCTTGTTACAGAGCCATAATCACATTGCTTGCCCTGTCCAAGTCCATATACCAGACATGTTGGAGAACAAAGATCCAGAAGGATGGGCCACAAGCAGGAAAACTCGTTGTGAGAATGTAGTCAGTGATGATTTTGTAGCATAAACTACATGTTATGGTGAATGTTATTGAAAAATACTAGTTTATTATGTTTTATTGGAGGTGAAAAGGGAGAGCACTAGAGCTCTCTGGAGCAGAGGTGAATTAGCAATAGTTGAGAGAAAGTGGAGTTATAATTTGGGGGCAAAAAGGCAGATAAGCCCTGGTGTAACTGCCCCCTCCCCTCTGAAGAATAAAATTCATTTCAGGTTTTATCTTTTATTTAAGGAGAAATCAAAAAAACTGGATAGGAATTAATCTTCACAGATTTAATTAGAAGGCATCAAAGGGTTTAATTGCAACTGAACATAAATCACAGTGGATATTCTCTGACTAATTTAGATAAGGTCACCAAGAAAATTAGTTCAGTGATGTCGGTTTGTCATAGAGGGGGGACGTTTCAGTGCCTTTACTCGCTGTGTAGCACAGTTCCACTCTTTGTCCTTTCCCCAGGAACTGGGAGTGAGTGACCTTCCTTAGATTTCAGCCCTGTCAGAGCTGAGCAGATGAGGACTTATTTTTCTGCAGGCTTTATGTCCTTGGAATCTTAAAGGAAGTTTTTTGGGTATTTAAAAAACAAAAGTTAGGTCCAAATCCTAGGCCAACTTTAAATACCCTCTGTATCTTGTTCTGGCAGCTCAAGAAGCGTGATCGAGCACCGAGTGGGGAAGAGCTGGATCTGACAGTCCAGGCCACCTCCTTGCTGCCGGGTCTGCATGGGCCAGCATCTGTACTGGGACATCTGGGGGACCTGGCAGGCGCGTAGGCAGCCAGGTGAATATTTTGGGGCTCTGCACTTCTGTGGCTAGTGTTTTCTGCTGCTGGCAGGTGAATATTGCTAGGGTAATGTGGAGCAGCCCTTCTGTTGCTCTAGGCTGCAGAGGAGCCAAATCTTCAAACTTCAGGGGTCAAGGGAAGATGGCCCAAAGCCATCTATTTCCAGGCTTGATGTTACCAGCTGTTAATTATTATCCACTGGCTAAGATGTGCATTCAAAACATCTGTGGTAGGGAATGTTTGTTGGACAGAAGTGACCTTGATGGTACTGGCTGGGTGAACAAAGGAATAATGAAGATCTTCCATTACTTTGTGATCTTTGATGAGCATAAAATGGATGGAACGCTTGTTAACTCAGCCTTCAGAGTGGGCAAAGACTCTGAAGGCAGTAACTGGTGTTTCTAAGAGTTTATATAAACACGGCATTTAGAGGTGATGTATGAGAATCCAGCTTTGCCGGCTCAGATACAATGCCATTGGCTGTCATTACAGTATGTGGCTTCTGGATGTCTGCAAATTCAAATAATGGTGGCCTTTGAAACAACTGAATTTTGTGGGCGTTGTGTGTGTGGTGTTTTTTTGTTTTGTGTGGGTGTGGTTTTTTTTTTGTTGGTTTTTTTTTTTGCTGCTAAGGTTGCTGTGACTTAATGTTTGTCACCAAATGCTTTTGGAGATGGTGTCAGACCCCTGTGCAGCCAGCGAGTATTTGTTTTTCTTCTGCGTAGAGCATGGGCAAGCGCGTCTGCAGCTGCAGGTAACGGGGACTGGGCAAGAGGACTGTGAAATGCAGAACTAGGCAGAGACGCATCTTATTTGAATGAAGGGTCAGACATGCCTCAAAGCACTGCTGAAAGTTCAGGGGCAGTCAGGGAGGTGGAGGTAAGGGTGAAGGTGAAGTTGTCTCTGCTGAATAAGCAAATGCTAAAGGTACGGCTTTTGCTGTTTTCTGGGAAATATTCCGGATGGATTATGACCCCTAGTCTGTTAGATTTGCGGTGTCTTGCTAATGCCTGGCCAGTGCTCCTGAAAGGGTGACCTGGTCTCTACCTCAGAGGGGCTTGTGACATTCAAGAATGTTCACGGCTTCTACGCGTTAGTGCTCGGAGCCAAGCACCAGCTTTACAAACGGCTCCTGGTTTCGGCAGCAGAAGTGAAAGGTACTAAGCACCCTGCAAAAACAGGCTGGATTTGCATACATGGCTTTAGATACTCAAGCTTGAAAGTCCTGAAAGTGAGATTACTCTTAAACTCACTCTTGACTGCAAACAGGGGTCAGTGAACATTGAATGGCTGGAGGTTTGATTAGATTAAACACCATATTAGCTGTAAAATGTGTACCTTACCAACATAATCGGAGAGATTCACAGTCTTGGCTTTTATTAGTAATCCTTCTTCCACTAGTTCTCTGTACAGAGAATCGATGGTCCTATGGGCAAGAGACATCACTCAGAAATTCTAGAGAATTGTAAGTAAAAGCTCAGTCCTTCAATAACTGAACTACCTTCAGAGTTATTTATGCTTCCTCAGCTTTATAAATTTGTTTTGTAGCTCAGAGGTAAAGGCGATTAGCTCCATCGGTATGAAATCAGTAAGTACTGTTTTCTGCCTTATGGCAGGGCATCTCTTTTACTACCTCACATGCCACATGGCTCCCTCTCACACCGATTCCATGACCCATTTCCAGGTGATGCAAGATCAGTTATGACTTGTGTAATAGACTCGCTCATTAATACCAATTACTGGGAAATTATTTTTAAATTGTATAATAATAGCAATCCTAACACCACTATACCTATTCACGTAGCTCTCCAATTAGTAGTAATTCATTAATTCTTCCTGGAATTTATTCTGTTTGCAATAGATAGCCTCATCTCGTTGGGGAATATACTGGGAATGACTAGATCAAAGCAACCAGTGGTCCATCTACTGCAATGTCAGGGTGACGTTGGCCAAAGGAGGGTTGAGGAGAAGAAAACAGATAGTGGAAACTGGCCGAACTTCTCCAGTGGAATGGCTTCTTCCTACCTCCGTTATGGGGTGGAAATAGCTCCTAGTAACCGAGGATTTAATATATTTAGGTTTGTATTCAGTTTGCTGTTGGTGTGAATGTTTTGCTTAGATAGAACTCCAAAAGAGAGACTAGGTGCAGATTTCAATGATACTTTCGGCACTCGGTTTTACGGATTGATACTGCTTCAAAGATTACATAAAATGCATAAGTGTGTTGGAAATTCTTGTTATATCATTCATATAAACAATACTGATTTGAACCTTTCGAGGTCTTTTGCTGTTTGTGCACTTTTCACATCCTCTCCCTTCAATATCTGAGCTTTTTTGTCTGTCACCTGTCTTAATTGGGATATTCTGGTATTGCTACAATAAAAATATTTAATAGCAACTCTCTGCTGGCTAGTAAAACCATATATATAATTTGAGATTTGCAGCCTTTTTTCTATTTCAGCTGAGAAGTTTTATGTTTATGCAGTGTTACTGGCACAATTAATATAGGAATAGTAATAAGAAAATACAAAATTTAATGCACCTTCAACAACGTTGATTTTGCCACTCTGGCTTCTGCTTTCATTCTCAGCCATTTTATGTTGAGTATGCATCATAAAACAAGCAGAAGGTAGAACGGGACTAACCTGACAGTTCTGTTGGGAGCATGACTTCTACTTTTCCTGTCTTATTATTTTTACTGTGCAAGCTTAATGATGCATGCCCTGAGTCTCCTCCAAGTAAGTGCGATGTGATCAGTCTCTGTTGACTAGAGCCCCCCTGTGCCCCCTCCACCATGCCAAAACAGAGATGAACTTGAGCTTTTCTTGGTTATTTCTGAAATACGTCCTCCTTCCCTGCTCAGCAGGGAAGAACAAATCAGCGGAGCCAAAATGCCACATAAACTCTGATTAAAAGTTAGCTACTATAAAAAGCTTGTGTTCTTAAATGGCTGTATGTTGCATTAAGTTTATACATAAGAAGCAGGTATGTGCAAGAGTAATTTTAAAAGTACAGAATACAGGCATCTTTGTTAGACTTTGGTACTGTTCTTATAAGACAGGTCACGCTCTGTTAGAATCCATGACACATTTATTTTAAATATTTGCTTGGAGAGGTTGTTGTTTTTCATTATTTTAAAGCAGGAAAAGAGATCACTGACTGATTGTGTACTGCTAGCACCCAAACGATCTAGTCCAGGTCTTGCTGTGCACATCTTGTATAAATGGGTTTATGTGGGGTCAATCCCATGTGCTTCCTCCTGCAGTGATTGAGTGTGTTTGTCTTCATGCTATTCTCCAGCCAGGCTCTCTTGGGAGCTGGGTCAGTTCCTGCTCAGCACAGCAGGTCCCAGGGGGGGTTTGTCTGCACAGGTGTCTGTATTACGTGTTCAGGTGAAAAATGGCTGGGTTATTAGCAAATGCATCACAAGCTCACTGAAAATGTAATGTCAAAAGAAGAAATCCTCCAAATAAAATAAGGGTGCTTAAAAGAGCAAGGGGTACACAAGAAATTGCCAGGTCTGCCAGGACTGTTATTGATAAATAAGACTGATTTATGATGTGTATGTTATACCTCAGACATGAAGGGTGATTTATAGAGTACAGGGGCCTGTCTGCAGCCTCCCTTATCAGGCTTTGGCTGGGACAGAAAATCTGACAGTCAACAAAACTGCCAGGTGCTTCTGCACCTGCGGAGAGGATGGGGAAGAGGCAAATAGGGCTAATACCCTGCCTAAATGTCACATGCTTAGCTTTGCATACCGGAATTAACCTGACTGAAGTTAATGGAGGCTAGCCCTAGTGGTGTGTTGTTGCAGAATGGGGACCTCGATTTGTATGCGTTGTCAAAGATGGGAGGGGGAAAACAAGGGCTGTGCTGTGTACCATTAAAGCACTGTTTTGTTGCCCTCTTATTTGTGGTGCTGTGAAGCCACGAGTTGGGGAGATGCAGGAGGAAGGTTGTGGTGTTCACTGGGAATGCAAAGAAGGTTTTCACCAAAGTAGATGTGCTTCAAGCTTGTGAAAGATTTTTATTTTACTATCTAGGCTTTTTATGGATGTTTATAGCTGTTAATAAAGAGGTTTTATTTGTTGTAGGGCTCCTGATGCTGGTAAGCGTAGCAACGTTGAGATGTTCCTTGTGTAATTGAAAAATAAAATGGTTGAATGGTTGACAGCATATCTAACGCAAAGAGGATGCAGTCTCTCATTGTCTGAATCTCAAATAAACAGGTCCTTTCTTTACCTGTCAGGAGTTAGATCTTCTTCCATCTCTGCTATCTTTTTCCTTGTGGTTGTCATCTTTTTCTGAGGACCACAAAAACAAGCAGGAATTAGTGACCTAAATACAGAGATAGAGTGTATATACATATTTGAACGTAGTGAAGGAAAGCGAGGGCCAGAACAGCAAATGTTTCTGTGAATGTGGCCCTCATTACTGAAGAAGACAAAGCAAAAAATGGCATCCCTGAATGCCCCGAGGGAAGGAAGTCACGTTCCCATTTATAAAGGCCCAGGAGAGGTTCCCATTTGTAAGTGCCTCACCAAGGCACAGGAGAGGTGAAGCATCCTGGGCCGGGGAGCTGTGTCCAGCCTACCAGCATGCAGGTGCTCTTGAACAGGACTCAGCATGAAGTAACTTGGTGGCTGCTGCTTCCTTCTAGAATATAGCTGCTCAGGGCACTTGACCTGCACCTGCCACCTCCCCAGTGAGTGCCCAGAGCACTGTACTTCAAAGCGATCAGTCCCGCTCCTTCCAGCGCAGATTGCATACAAAAGAATCCCGGGGTTGTTTGCTCCCAGAGAAAACTCTTCTCTCCCTCCTTTTTGGAGCACTACTCTTGGTTTGAGTGGGAATGGCCCTTACTCAAGAGGGAAGCAGGAAGGAATAGGGTGTGGGGTCCAAGTAGCTGTTCCAAGCTGTTCATGCCTTTTTTTTTTTTTTCCACATTGGTGTAAAATAGATAAGCAGCTTCCCTGAGGGTCATGCAGGGTGCTTACAGCTAGACCAGGACCTGAAACCAACCCTCCTGAGTCTCCAGCTAGTCTCCTAACCATTAGATGTCCTTCTGTCTTCTCTCTCCTAACATCTTGGGGAAGCAGCTTGAAGAGGTCAGAAAAACGTGACCTGCTCTTCTCTTCATATTTTCACCATATTTTGACTATGGGAAGATTTTGACTTGTGTGACTAGTTTCTTTCCATACTGCAAAAAACCTCACAGAAAACATAAATAAGAGAAATGTGGATCAGTAATGTCAAGCCCCTCCGTTAATTACAGCTCACAAGCCATAAAAAAGCTTACGGATAATTAGTGATGGAGAGGGCATTGTTAATCCATGTTAGTGCCCACCACCGTTGTCCATACTCAAGTTGTGCAAAGCACTGTACAATGACTTCAGCGGAACTATTCACACGGACGCATTTATGCAGCGTGGCACTTCTTCAATAGCTTAAATCTAGGCGTGTGTTTAAATGCTTAGTTGATCAGGACAGCTTATTCTTTCCAAAAGTTTACATTTGCTTTCCTGGGAATAGTCGTTTATTGTTTTTAATAGCAAATACTTCTGCAGAGCTCTAGAGGCTATGTTGTTGAGTTTAAAAAAAATCCTATCCAATTATCTGGAAAACGCTGGGCTTTTTTACTAGAATGGATCAGCAGTGTTCAGAAATATATCAACTGCGAGTTTTCCAGGACAGTTGTAATGTAAATAACCCGTCACTCAATCGCATGTTAGGGTTTACAACACCACAAAGATAATCTAGATGAAACTGTACATTAAACCCAGAAGGATATAGATAAGCTAACTGGGAAAAGGTGATGGTTTTAAGTTTTGGATTAGAATAATGCAAACAACTCTGTTTCTGCAGAACTACACCTAAGGTTTCTTTACATAAATACGCTTGCCACTTGTCAGAATGTGCCAGTGGGGTTTTGCTTTAAAGAAAAGGAATGGGAAGAACAAAGCATATGCCATGCTGTTTTAACAACCGAGGAAATATTGAGACTGTCAGCGGTTTATTTCTGGTGTTCCTCCAGCTTTGTCTCTTTAACCTTTCTTCCAACAAGCTAGAAATTACATATCATGGGGTCTGACTGGGAAGCAAAGCTCATTTCTACCTATGTAAAGACACTAAGCATATGTTGAATTTATTGGCCGACTGCTATTGTCCTCAAGGCAGCCTCACCAATAAAGTAACTCGAGAGCAAAACAAAAATGAACTATGCAGGGGAAAAATGTGTTTTCCTAATTAACATCAGCATTTATGGGAAATTTGGCAAACACTGAGATGCGATAAGGGGAAATATGAATTGTAGACAATGGCTTTCCTCCAAAATGTCTTACGGGGAACTTTTATTTAGAAAATGATAATGTTTAATGAATGTGAACATGCTCATCGTTTATAATGGAAATCTCCTTGTTTCTATCGCTGAAATGTCAGTCTAGCTTCTGTGTAGCTATCCATTTACTCGGTTATTTTCGTCTTTGATAAGTCACATGTAGCGAGCTGCATTAGCTATTAGTTGGCAGATGACAGAAGACTACCTTCCATGCTCAGCATGGTATATTGTCTTACAGTGTAGGCTCATGAAAATGTTTTGAGTAGCTCAGAGCTTGCTATGAGCAAATGTGGACCTGATTTGAGAGCAGATTCCAGAGCAGAGTGTCTCTGGCACCAGAAGGGAGAGGGTAGCCAAAATGTCTCATTGAGGGAACTATTCTATATCGGAACCGCAAGATCTGTGTCACCCTTTGGCTGCGATCATAGAAGTCCTGCTGCCGTAAGCTTTCTGCATCTAGCAGCTACTACCACCAAGTAACCTTTTAGCCTTTCTTCCAACAAGCTAGAAATCACGTATCATGGGGTCTGACTGGGAAGGAAAGCTCACTTCCACCTATGTGAAGACATTAAAGCATATGCTGAATTTCTTGGCCAACTGGTATTGTTCTCGAGCTTCACCAATAAAGTAACCCGAGAGCAAAACAAAAATGAACTTTGCAGAAAAGTAGCGAGAGGAAAGTACTCCTGTGGCTTAAGAGAAACAACAGTATATAAGCAGCAGTCTATGAAGTGTTTTAGTGGATGCTTGGGATTATGTATGATGGTTGGATGGGAGGCTGAGCCAGTGCAGATTGGCACCATGTGTGCACCCACTATGGGTTGCAAAGTCTTTGCGGACAATGCCAAGATAAATAGAGAGCAGCTTCTGATACTTGTACTGAGAATGTCCTTAGAAAAGGATGTTTCCAGTGACTGTTAAGCTCTTGCTAAATGAGGGGCTCTGATCTGTAATCCCTGTTGGGTCTAGCTACAGCATCCAAAGAGATTACAGCCCCCACAGCTGGCTGGGAGCTCTGGGTGCTGATCTCTCAATCAGCTACAGGAAATACAACAGGGGTTGTGAATTGCTGCCCTCAAACTCAGCCTTTCTTCACTTCTGACCCAGCATGTCTTTTGGCCTTATTCACTATGGCTTTGCTCTTATCAAGTCTACTGGCTGAGGTCAAAACTCTTGTCACAGCTGCTGCTATGGTTAACCTCTTGTGGTTTGTTTTGCTTGTGCCTAGCTGCATCAAAAAGGGATATCCAAAGCTGTGTCGAGATGCTAGCAAGGCCTGTATCAGAAGTGACTTTCCATAGCTTCCCATGTTTCATCTTTCTGTTGTTTCTGAAATCTGGCCATGCCTTTTGTGTATGTGTGGGTGTGTTCACTTACAACGGGCTGCTTTACCTGCAGCTGGATTGGAAACAAGTCCTTAGGGAGGTAAAGCAGGAAAAGCAGCACAATGGGCTTGATAAAAAGTAGTCTGATAAGCACTCAAATGTAACTTCCAGGTCAGTAACTGCGGAGAGTTGGCTCTTATGGTGGGTGCGAAGCCAGGTCTGCAGTGGTGTACTTGTAGATTCCCAAGAGAAACAGCCTTGGCTGACAAGCCCTCTGGGTACAGTGGTTAGGTTCATGGCATCCATCTAGAAGAAGCACTTACAAAGCTGGTGGGTCGTGTTGAGCCACCCAAATCGGAAGGTTGGTCTGTCAGCAGAACGGAGTGGACTCAGGAGAACATAATTTCACTAAGAAAAGTTTGTGCTGATACAGGGATGCCACAAACTCTTCAGAAATCGAATACTTTGGAAAATGCTAGCCCTTTCTCTTTTACTTCAGGTGCTTTAGAACAGGCTCTTCTAGGCTGGGTGGGGACTTAGACCTCCTGACATCTCTTTGCCAGCCTTCCTAGTCATCAGTGTCATATCCCTCAGCAGGAGGCACTCTTCCTTCAAATCTTTCCTCAGCCTGTCTTTACACAGGTGCTTACAATCCCAGTTTGCTGAACCATGGCTGGGCAGATGACAAGTTGCCACTGTGTGGAGTGAAGAAAAATGCAATTTGCAGCAGAGCTGAACCACATTCCTTTGTTTCTGTTGTAGCCTCATCCCATCTTCTGTGAAAGTCATCAGATCAGGAGCAATGTGGAACAATCGGAGTCCAGCACAGCGTGTCTCTTGACAAGGACACTTGTGCTCTATATGCCATTGATGCTGGACCGTAAGGACTAATAATTGCGGGACAGTCTGTGGAGTGAGATGCTTCCAACACAGATACAGGCATATTGAGATCCGTGCCTCAAATGATAGCCGTGTGGCTTGTTGCCTATTTGGTGCAATCTAATCAGTTTAGGTATTTCCAGACCAGCCATATGGTCTGGAGACCCATTTGTAATGAGAAAAGCAATTTGTCCTTCCACCCAAAATGATTCTTCCACAAAGGTGGCAAATGGGCTTTTTTTATCTTGGGGGCAGCAAGAGCAATTCTTGATAGGGTTAAGTGTCAGCTTTCAGTATTAAGTGGTATTTGAAGGTTTGGGAGCCTGTGATAAAGTTCAGCCTAGAAAGTATAGTGCATGAAAAGGGAAGGAGTGGCCTTACACATATGCCAGGAGCTGTTAAATTTTGTTTATCTAAGACCTGAGCCATCTGAAAGGCTGACTGGGAGGAGCAATTAGCTTCCTTATACTCTCCTTTAGAGTCTAATTCCAAAATATTCTTGCTGAGTTCCCCACAAAAGGGACTTTCAAACAGGATTTCAAACTTAAAAAAAAAAAAAAAAAAATCTGCCTGATCCACAGGAAATAATTTAAGTTTTAAATCAAGATGCACTTGAAAAGGCATCTACCCTGCATGTTGCTGGGTAGTGACTGTTCCCTGGCAACAAAAAAAGCCCTAGTTCTACTGTGATGTCTTCCTGCGAAGAAATCCCTCCTTGCAACAGAGGGGATGGCCAAACATGGCACTGTGAATTTGGGGTAACTGCCCCTAGACAGAAAACTCCCCTTCTAAGAGTTTACTTAAAGAATTTACCCTTGCTGCCCATTCCCTACTGACAGAATACAGAAAGCAGTTTGATTTCTCTGAAGAGTGTTGAATCCTACTGAGAAGGCTTTTCTTTGCAGAATATCCCTTTTTTGGAGGGGAGAAAAAACCCCAAAAGGTTTGCATTATGCTCCAGACGTGTTCATGGCTACAGTGAGAACCCAAACCCACTGTTATTTCACTGTGTAGCTGGGGGCGGGGGGAGACGTAGTGGGCCTAGGATGTGGTAACACATGCCTGGAAAAACTAGAGGATTTTTGCTGAATAACACATTAATAAGCTGCTTTTTAAAACTTTCCAGCTCACATTATTCTTGTTATATAGGCCAGATATTCATAAAGCAGATCTGAAGCCTGTGTGTACAGGTATGCACATGCTGTGTTAGTTTATGGACTGAGATATTTATGCAAATACTAACTGGAAAAAGCCTTTGCCAGTGCTGATTGGACACTTGAAATAGTTTTGCACAGGGAAGATGTGTTGTGACTAAAACTGGATACCTCCTTCCATTCTCCACACCTACAATAGAACTGTTTTGGTGTGTTGTTTTTTTTTCCCCCCCAATAAAATCTTTAGGGAACTTGTACTATTTAATTAGTACTTATTCCCCCGCCCCCCAATTCTCTCAGGCTACTGGCACAACTTTGGAAAACAAAAGTTAAATAACCTCCCTCCACCCAACACCATTCCAACACTATATTGAAGGGGGGGAAAAACCCCCAACAAACCCAACCCTTAACTTAAAGCTTTATAATTCCAGTGTGACACTTGGAAGCAGTTTTGACCAGCTGATCTAAATACAGCTGCCCATGACACCTTTGGGAAGATTGGTGCAATGTTTTGTCTGTGTATCGTAAGCCTCGCTATTTTTGAAATGGATTTCGCAATCCAGTTGGTATCAGTTTTCAGAGTTGCTCCAGCCTTCCATTATTAAACTGTCGCTACATGTTTGTCAGGTGAAGAGTGCTTTTCTTTTTTAAAAAGATAACTTGAGTCGAAATACAGCAACAGCAAGTATTTGCATGCTAAAAGGCTTACAGAAATGAAATACAACATGACATTAGGGTTGGCTACTTGCCCTGAGGTTTTTAAGTGGATCTGCTGATTGAATGGTGGGGTCTGTAAGCTTGGAGTTGTTTTGCACTGACATGATCTATAGTTTAAAGGCTTGGGTAAGGAATTTGGGGAACCATGAGCTGTGGAATTCTGCGTATGGCAATACGGTGAAACTAGATATGAACATGATATGTGCTGTGTTTCAGGGGGTAACACACGTTAAAAATAATGTATGTCTTTAAGCAATTTTATATGCTTAAATAAACTCAGCTTAATTGCAAGTTCCCAAGCACTTCAATAGTAAGTAGTAACATAATTAATGTGTACCTGGCTGTATGTGATCTAAGTGTTGTTATAGGTAAAAGAACGGTTACACCAAAACATTCAAAAAGAATTTTTTGGGTGTACAGTTTTGAAATGTATTAAGCAGTCCTCATTTAGAATGAAAACAGCTAGCAGCTGGAAAACTTAGTGGCATCCAGATCTATGCCTGCCTTGGAATAACTGTCACCTTAAAGAGAGGGACTGATTGGATTTTCCTGTTTTAGATCAGAGGATTTCAAGAGGGTGTGTATCCCTCTTGAAAATCTGATCTACCTTGTAATGATTTACCTTTGGAATAGTTTAACTTGTCCTAAGCAATATTTATAAAGGATAAGGAATAATAATAGCTAAAGGAGAAGGCCCTGAAAAAAGCCACAGGTGAATATATTTTTTAAAATGCTTCTGACATAAGATTCAGTAAAAGTTCAGAGTAGACATTTTGATATTGGTACCTGTGAGACTAGGGCTTGCACTGAATACCACTGTATCTGGCAGAGAACTGACATTTACCCCGAGTTCTCCCAACTTGCTGTTCTTACCTTTTCACTTTTTCTTCCCTTTTTCTGTTTGTCACTCTTTTCTCCATCCACAGCCAATTTGAGATTCTCCAGTTTCTGTTGCATCAATTTATCAACCTATCCAGACAAACACAGTTGAATCTTTTTAAGTCTTCTGTTCTGCCACCACACCTCAGACAAATGTTCAGCTAAAGAAGTGTTAAAGCAAAGAACAGATAGTAGGGACTCTGGAAGGAGATAAGGTCTATGCCAGGGCCAGTTCTTACGGCTGTAGAGAAATGTACCCAGGCAATGCATGTTGTTAGTGTCCTCTTACTGTTGTAAGCACACCTGCACTCTGATCTCTTCCTCCACTTCTTCCCGTTTCTCTTCTTTGATCAGCTCTGGGTCATGATCCTGGAGAAAATCCCATCCCTTGTCTCTGTTCTGCCAAATGTCTGTTATCCAAAAGAAAGAAAAAAGCGGGGGGGGGGGGTGAAGATACAAGAAGACATTGGTTTCTCCAACTACTTCTGGAGGCAAAAAATAAGTAGTTGTAAGCAGCTTTTATTAAATTATTAGCTCTATGAAAGCAACAGACTCTAGGGACCCTTACAAAGTTCAGAGCCTTGTTGTGTTAGGATCTGTAAATCTTGAGGTTAACTTCTTTTTTTTGCCTTGGGCTGTAAACTGGAATCAGGTATTGGAAGGGTAATGGGATATGGAGGTTGTCATTTTCGGGTTGCAAAGCTGAATGCCTGCAGTGTTGCTCATCTTCAAGAGCAGGTAGTACAGTATCGGCCGAACCGTGTTGTGCCCGACGTTGGCATTCTTCTTCCCTCTGTTTAACAGCACAGTGCTTAAATCTTTACCATGAAGAAGCTGCAAAGGTGACTCCTGTCCTGAGGAGCGTGCTCTCTATGCATGCCCCTTGGCTAGCACAATGTAGGCTTGGTGACTGAAGGAAGGCGTTTAATTTCAACCAGGAAAATTCCTTGTTCTCCCCCATTCAGCTATCTGATGCAAAGTCAAAGCTGCTGCAACCTTGTGAGTTCGCCTTTGTAGTAATTCACACGAGGCTGAAGTACAGGCACGGGAATAGGCATAAAAGCCTGCACAGAGAACGTGGAAATAGAGAGTGTGAGGGGACAGTGAGTCTAACAGAGCAATAACCTGCTTCCAAACCCGTAAGTGATGTATGGCCACGCAGAGTTTTAACTCTGCGGAGTTTTAAGCTTGATGCAGTAATTGAGAGGCAGTCAAAGTATTTTCCAAAGAGCCCAGGCCCACCTGATATAGCACCTCTGTTTCTTAGCCTTGTGCAAAGGACAAGGAACAAGGAGACCTAACTCCAGGAACAAAGCAAGCTTGTGCAAACTGATGATCAAAACCCCCAGCTTATGATAAAGGAGCTAATGATCCTGAGGTGCAGTTCGTTCTTTTTGTTGAGGCAAACTGCAATTTGGTCGTTAGAAAGCCAACGAAATGAAGTCTGGCAAGCTTGGTGCGTATCCGAATTCTCCGCTGTTAGCAAAAGGTACCTTTTTAAGGGAAACGCCTCTCTTCTTTCTACATTTTTTTGAGCTGATTTAAAGGAGGACAATTAATATCTTTCATTTCCTTGCATTTCAAGCCCCAACAGTATCTTTATAAATGACAGCTAATCTCCAGCAGAACGTGCTAATTCAATTTCCAGATGATTTAAAATGACAGCTTTCCACTTTAAGACATAGGCTCCTTTATGAATCTGTTTTGTAAAAGGTACTCATTGCTGTACCCACTGCCCTTTCGAAGGCGCTATAAATTCAGGAAGGTTTTCACGGTACCCATAGGAGATCATTCATGTTTTAGTCCAGTTAATATAATACTGGTTGCTATTTCCCTCCCCTACGAATTTTCAGTCCAATTCCATGTGGAGTATTTGTGGCTTTACGCATAGGGAATAGTTTTTGCAGGTGAGTAGTCTTAATTTCATTTCATAACTGAAAATGGTAGAGATGGAGAAGGACAGTGGATTTTTTGGTAATGAGGAAAGAAACTCAAAGGTATAGACATTAATTTCTTTAAATTACTTGCGGGTCATCAGATGGCGTGACAGATGTCAAGTAATATTTCAAGAGGGAAAGCTGATTTGCCCTAGTTGAAAGATACCTCCTCCAGGGTTACCAGCCTGGAATTTCAGCCTTGGGGAAAGAGGAATGTTACATGGGAGTTATGTGAAGTTTTAAACACTTTCCTGACTGGGTCAGCAGGTTGCAAGTGCTATGTTTTCACAGGAGTACTAGGTTTTAGACATTTATTTTTCATAGAGGGATCCATAGACTTTTATTCTGTTTTTTTGGTAATTGTTTATTGTCATTTTATAAACTCGTTAGTGGTTAATATCCACGGCAGGCAAACCAGTGACAGTCCCCACGGCTTAGGCAGCTGCCTTTGATATCACCTGGCAGCGACTTTCCCGAGTGCTGTATTAGCCACTAGGTTAGAGGTCCCTAATTTTAGAAGAGAGATCAATAACTCATAGGTGTTAGATGCTATGTTGTTCTTTTATAGATCAACAAAATATTTCAAACTTATTTTTAAAGTAAGGTCAGGAGGCTAAGGATGTTATGTTTTCACTGGCTGGTCAAAAGAGCCTGGTATTTTGTTCCAGACAGGGTCATCCAGCTCCGGGAGCTATTCTTGCGCGCGCGTGTGTGTGCAGTGCGATTTATATCACCTCTTCTAAAATAGTGCATGCTTATCTTTGGATTATTCTATATGCATACTTCTCTAGCTCAGGACTCAAAAGACAGCCCAGTCTACTAATGTGACTGCTAATAACACCATCACAGTGGTATTAGCTTTCACTCTACGGACTAGAGAGGAATTCCAATACCCCTGAATTTCAGAGAACAGCGTGTGACTAATAGTTGAAATATGTTTATCTGAAGCATGAAGCTTTTCTTGAAATGACTACTTTCAACCTCCTGGAAAAAGGCTTTGAATCTTTTGATGCCTGGTTCAAAACACGTAATATCACCACACCTTAAAGTTTGGGCCGTTGGGTATTTGGCTTGAATTCAAATATCCTCTGCAACACCGAGCAAGTCAAATATCAACTGGCAATCTGTATAAAGGTGGGAAATAGCACGTTGCTGCCTCACAGTACAGGGTACTGCAAAAATAAAACCCAGGCCGATGGAGGTAATGATTCAGACTGCTTACATTTGCTCCACATGAACTCTTGCTATTTCAGTGTACAAGCAGATGTCAACACAAACTGGCTGTTTCCAACAACAGTATATAAAATGAGTGTTTTGGATAGAGCTTGGCAAATACAGCTTAGAAACTAGCAAAACTGCCAGATACAGTTTTAGGAGAATAAAAGCCTTCATGAATTCCAGTGAAGTTTAGGTAGTAGTTCTACCCTGACGGGGGGTAGTGGGGGAGAATAATTGGTGTGGAAAAATCTGTAACTGAAATGCTTAGACCTCTGAAAAGCGATGTACATATTTTTAAATATTTAAGTAGCCTAAGAACAGAGCAACCAGCTTGAGGGGATGGGAAGCCTTTCTGAACTGTGAGGGAGTCTGTGCGTGTGACAAAACAAAAATGTTTGGTCAGCTATCATTTAGGTAAACTTTAGACAAACTCGTATGGGTCTTTAAATTATTCTATTGTAGGCATCCAATAGAAACCTTTCGTAATCAAGCTCCCTTACTTCAATGATGTCTTCAAGATTTATGCACTAATAAATCGGAACATCTGTGCAAACTGTGATAGTAACTGAGCTATTTCTACATACGAATAGAGAAAAGTTCCCAGTGTGGAAAGAACAAACTCAAACCTTTTTTTTTTTGTAAACAATTCTGCTACTGAAATGAAAGCAGGCTAAAATTAAAAATACAAGAAACTGCTTACACTGTTCTAGTTGGAAAGATGTTCTAGATTTGATTCTGGAGGCCTTGGAAAAAAGAGCCTTATCCATGGCTGGATTAAAAATAAGATTATTCTGAAGAATCACCACATAGTATTGTGATAAAGTATTGCAGCATCCTGCAATAAAAAGCACTAAGTGCTTGTGAATAAGGCAGGGGACTGTGCTGTGTGGAGGAATTAACAGCTGTTTACTAAAAATAAGTGTGGTGCCAAATAGACTTGGTTCACTAGGAGGAAAAAAACACCGAACACCTGAAGTTTAACTGAACAGCTATAGACTCTCACTGTGCATGAGACAGAACTGCAGCTATTCTTTGAAGCTTGCAAGAGAGCTCTTTCCACTCTGAGGGTTTCTGGTCGTGCTCTGGGCAGAAAATGGTTTCTTACGTGCCTTTAGAGCTATGGCAGTAGCTCTGGCAGGATGCGCTGACCTACCTGAGCACGTGATTGCGGCGTACCTGCAAGTGCTGCCAGTACATACTGGGAAGATGGAGGTGCTCACACTGACTGGCTTCAGTCATCCAATTCAGGTGCCTGAATAGGAACATAGGCTCCACAGACAGTTAACAGGCTGCCGAGTTGCCCTTGGGAGGTCTTGTGAGATATAGAGGAACACAACACCCCCAATTCAGCGCTCACCTTCATGTAAAAAGTTAGTATAAGTAACCCCAATATCTTGTATACTTGCAGAGCTCAAAGCAGGTATCTTGTTAGGATGGGCAGTACTGGTATTTAGATACAGTTTGGGTGACAAACGTGTCCCCCATCCTCTCACAACCCCAATGACTTGTTATTACTTGAGATAGTTGTGAAATTTGGGAGTGTCTATTCCTAACTGATTGACCTCTGCAGTGTTTTTATTCCTGATGCCGGCATTCACTGCCATGTTGGGAAGCACTGTCCAAAGCCTCTGTGTGAGGTTATAGCCAGAGATGTTTCCTACAGCCTGGAGGAGAGTTATTTGCACAAATACAGGGAGTTTGTGAATTCACCGTTCAGCATCGTATCGAAGACTATTGTAAAGCCTCAGCAGGGGATCCAAGCAGCGCTGGAAAGCACAGCTACTATACCTCCTTCTCGTTAGCAGAGTGCTGGATGAGCATATTGCCGAGCTTATGTAGCGACGTGAAACTCTTCTGCCCTCTTGCTACTACTTTGCAACAGGTAGGGCCTCTATGCTGCTCCTTTATTGCTCTTGGGACTTGCTGGATGGGAAACGCTGGCCTCTGGTTGCAAGGTGCCATTTTGTCCTGAGTTCATAGATAAAGCCCAAGTAATGCTCTTAGTCTGTTAAGGGAAGGAGCACAGATGAATTTGATCTTTATCTAAATGATCTAAAACTCCTGCTGACTTCCACGGGGTTCTGATGTAGCATTCAAGAGTAGAGTCTGGGGCTAAAGAACTTCCCTTTAGCCATAAAACTGCTTTATGATTTATAATGCGCAAGAAAATCCTAATAGTTTGAAGTTGGAAGTCAGGCAAAACTGTACTGATGTGTATTTAGCAAGTACATTGTTTCTCTCTGGCCAGCCCAAACCAGGCAGAAAACTTGATGCCAGTAAACTCTGCAGCAGGAGAGAATAAGGGAGACTTTTCACATGAGGAATTTTAGCAAGCCACTAACTCTGCAGTCTGGGGAGCAGGAAAGATATTTTTAATAATTGTTTGAGAATAGAATCTGCATGAAATATAGCGAAAATAACCCCTGAAGGCTTTGACTGGGCACACTTTTGCAACGGAGGGCTTCGGTTTGGCTCGTCTGACCTCCGGAGTCCTGTTGTGCTGCTCCCTTCTAGTTCAGAAGAAGGGTGCTTCTTTCCATTTTGGACAAGTGCACGGCTTCCGTGCTCACTTGCAGGCCCAGCACGAGTGATTGCTAACTCGCTTGTGTATCTAGGGAGCACACTGAAGACAAGTAGTTAGGAGATAGCAGACAAAGGCATCAAGCGTAGGGGAGAGGGTAGAAGAGAGATGGAAAAGAGCAATATGTCCTCTTGTGAAAACCACTTTTAAAATTTGAAAAACCCCTACTTTTGGATGCTTTCTCAAAGTGGAAAAAACAGCCTGTCTCCTAGCTGTAAGTTTGAGTTATGTTAAGTTGCACACACTTTGACTGAAGCAAGGATATTCATAGTCCAGCAGCATTTCTCATGCGCCTGCTTGAAAAGATGACCCTCCTATTAAAACATATAATCAAAAATAATTTCATTATCTGTAGACTGTGTAGATGAGTGAATCCACGGACACTTTTCATGAATGAGAGGAAGACAGGATGAAGAGTCACAGCAACATGAAAACACTGATGCTGATCGCTGGTATAGTGCTTTTGAATTCTCTGCTACTCAGATGTCACTTTTATTGCCCTCAGAAAATCCAAGAAAGCCCCTGCATGTACATCAAAGCATTTTGGTTCTAGTTTAGCCACTTCCACTCATAGAAATGTACCTTCCTGTATGATTAGCTCAAATTTTTTTTTTTTTTTTTTTTTTTGAGAGGCTCCTAAGACTTGAGGGTACCGAGAGGCTCCCTTCCTAAATACCATTTTACCTAATGTCCTCATTTCTATAAAGCTCCATAGTCTGGGCAGCTGCCCAGCTTGACCTTATAGAAGTGACATTCAGATTAAGCTGAATTAGAAGAACATTCCAGCTGTAATTGTTATCTTTTTCTACTGACCTTTGTATTGACTGTTTCCTTCCTCCATTATTGAAAGGAAATTACTGGGAGCCATTTTCCAGCCTTCCTCCTCTTCCTAGATGGTGGGGGGTGGTGGTGGTGTAAAGAGAAAAATCAGAATGTTAGTACGTAGAAACTTTGCAAGTATGTGAGTGTCATAATTTTCATTGGATTTTTAAAGATTTGTTTTAATTTGAGGAATAAGACAGAGTTGTTTCATCAAGTAAAATCTTCCTGGCAGGCTATAAGGCAGTTTCTTCTTCTTGAGTGAAGGGGGGGTGTGTGTGTGTGTGTGTGTCAGTTCATCAGTTGAACTACTGAAGTTACAAGAATTAATCATAAGCTTGTTTGAACATGTAATGTAGGTAGGACACTTGCAACAAGTAAATGAAATTACCTTGCTGGTTTTTTTTTCAGTTACTCTTACTCTATGGTTGTGCCCCTGTCACCCCCATAAAGGAATTCCTAACCTGTGGGCAATTCCAAGAGGTTGAAACCTCATTTTAATTTGTAATCAGAAAGAAAGATAGTGATCTTGGTGTATCTTGCAAAACAAAGTATTTTTTTTATGACTTTAGACAGGAAAAGGACAAAATGTTTTGATAAAGTAAATGACACTGACATGTTCCTGAAATAGTTTAATTTCATTGAACCAGTATTTCTGATGGAAAAATTTGTCAGAAAACTGAAGTTTCTTCATGTTGTATCAGTCGTAAGTCCTTAAAATGTTAGTCAGGTAATAGTTATTGGTGGGAAATCAGATCACTATTTGAGGAGGAGGAGAATGTGGATTTACATGAGAGAGCCCGATTTGTATCAGGCTTTGCTAACCAATGTGCAGTCTGTAAACCACTGGTTACCAGTAAGATATGAAGTGTGGAGTATCTTAAAATCAAATAACTTAAATGGAATAACTTAAAATGAAACAACCCCCCTGAATACACCTCTGTAATTAGATGCCATTGCATACCTGCTATCAGCAGATACAGTTTCAGCCAGGTCATGTGAATTATTGAGTATCTGTTTTCAATTAAAGTGTTATTACAGTAATTAAAGTTTGGGCCCAGAAGGACACGCAAAACCTAAATACATTTATCACTTCTACCCTGTGCTCCATAGATATATTTGAAAGATTTGGTATCAAGAACCATTTTGGTAAAGCATAACCGAGTGTTTGAAGATTTGACACGCAGAGCTCAAATTCACAGTTACTCTAATGTATTCTCAGATTTTGCAGGGTGTGGTATTTTGAGATTCATCCTTGGATCTTTTACAGTAGGCAGACTACATTCCTTTTAACATTCTCCCATGACATTTTATAGAAAATGATTAAATCATTATGTTCTAAGAGGAAATAATGATAATTGCTAATTTTTTTTAAAAAAGGGTCAACCTCCCCCTGCCCACCAGCCTAAAAATGGGCTATTTATTTTTAGCCTTTTAATAGCATAGGACATATTAACGTTTCTTCTATTGTTACAAATAAGCCAATAAATAATTTTAATTACTAGCTTCAATGATTTTATACACTGATGTAAATAATATTGTTGCGTGAGTTTCATTGATTTTAATCAAAGCCACTGGGTGTCTGAAGGACAGTTGCAGAATGCTGTTCTGTATTCCCTCTCGCCTCTATTGACAGCGTTAAGAGTCGAGGTAATATAAAGAAGTTCTTTTGCTTTGAAGGCAGTTCATGTATTTTTTTTTTTTCCCTATGATCAGTTGATGGATTCCATGCTTGTTCTGCTTTAAGTGCTAAGGCACCTCGAACCAACAATATATATTTCAATCTAAGCAGAGATAGGGAAACAACAGCTTAAATATATTTCTGAAGCTTTCCAAAGCCTAAGCTTACGCCGGGTGATTCTCATTCAACACCAGGGAAAATTCTGAACTGATTCCATTGTGCACTTCTGCTACGGAGGTTTTGTGAACAGGTTTCACCAAGGACAAAATGTGTCTCGCTGTTAAAATGTTTCTGGGTGAAACAGAGGGATGAGCAGCCTTGCTCGTGTTTGGCGAGACAGACAGGTTGCAGCACGTTACTGGGCGAAGCAGTCCAGACTGGTCTAACGTGTATTTTGCTATTGAAAAGAGGGATCGTACGGTGCTGAAGTTTTGTGTTGTTTTTTTTTTTTTTTTTTACCCCTTAGGTGCCCAATGGGAAATCAAATCAGCACCTTAGAAAAGAAAACGAAGCTACTTTGATATTAAATATGCCTTTTTAAAGATTGCTATCGGGCTTTCCAGAAATATTTAAATTTCCTTCTGGGATCAAACTTTTGTTTTCTTTAAGAACTGAAGTTAGGAGCAGGGCTTTTTTTCTGCCTGCATCACTATGACTTATAGCCTATACTTATTTTAATAAGAGTCCTGCTGTTAGAACTTTTCCAAATACTTCTCAACTGGTCTTAGATACTATTTTTTTTCCCATCAGTATTATAACCTTAGAGAGAATGTTCCCTTTGTTCTTTCTCAATGAACCACAGAGAACCTGATATAATGGCTTAGAGTTTTACTTGACAGGACTTTTGATGGCTGAAGAGATGAGAATGACATCAAGTTATAAAGCCTCCAGAGTTCTATAATTGGTATTTCACCCTGTTTCAAAACAACTTTGTGGATGCTGTAAGTGGATTGATATTAATTTTTGGTATTGTTGTTTCTTATCTAGTGAAATGTGCAAAACCAACAAAGAATCAGACTTATCCTGTGAAAGTCAGGTTTTTAAGCAGATTGAGTGAGTTGCTATCCAGTTTCAGAAGTTTGGGTTGGGTTTGGCATTTCAGCGTGCCTGAACATTAACATCTCACTTTGACTTAGCCTGTTCCAGACACTTCAGTCTTTTTCCATTGCCTGTGCAAGAGCAGAGGCATCACAGAGGATCATCCTGGGAGAGCTGAGTCGGGAAGGAGCAAGGACAAGGGCAAAACTGTTAGAGGACACCCTCATGAATGCTCCCCGCAGGAACTGGTCTGAGATGCTACAGGGTTCTCTAACTGTGGATGACAACATTGGTCTTTAAAGTCTCTAATTTTGAAAGCTTTTCTAAGCTATTGCCTTTGTACATTATCTGATCTTTCATGTCGAGTTCTGCAGTGTATGTGCTGGCTGAAGGGGTTACACCATGAAGTGGTCCCACAGAGCTGAACTTGGCACTAGCACAAGTCACCAGAAGTCTTATGGACAACAACCAACCTCGGCTTAGGTCTGCAGGCATTACACTTTCTCTCCTGTTGCTCCCCCAGGCTGGCTCTGCTCTGCCACTACAATACAATGAGGTGGTACCAGTAATCACTGTCCTCTGCCTGCAGCCTCGTGCCTTCACTAACGCTGTGATAGTGTGTGACCAGAACTTAAAAAATTTCCTGTTTGCAGAGGAGCAGTGCTACCCTTCCCAGTTGGCAATGCAAGATCAGGCTTAAAGAGCTTGGAAAGCACGTTTTTATGTATGCTGCTCCTTCAGCTTGCTGTGCATCTTCATTTATAAAGGGAGAAAAACACCCTGAAACCCTCAAACTTTGTTTTGTATGATCCAAATAGATACTATTTTCAACCAGCAAAGATGCTAAGTTACAAGCTAACACTTAAGACATCCACCTTCCAACTAGCTGGACTAATGCTTCCTAAGTTCATGTAGTTTAGGTTCCTGGCTAGCTGTTATAAGAGCTTCGGTCAGATTAATGGATATTGTCCAAGAAAAGCATCTTTTTTGTTATATGGCTGTTCTAGGGTTAGGACTTAAAATTAATTTGTGTAAAACTTGCAAGGAAGAGTAAGCTTTGCCCCAGAAAACTCACCCTTCTCCTCCACATACTTGGTGAGAGATTAATGACCCGTATTAAAAAAAAAATATTGTTTCAACTTTGTTTATACTATAAAGTAAATGAGAAATAACAAGTTGCTGCTTCAGCAAAAGCCTACAATTTTTGTTGCACAGCTCTCTTTTTGTAGATGCCCTTTGGTCTGTTTCACAGGTGTTTTCCTCTGTGAAGTTGCTCCTGAACTAATTTGGAAGCATACCTTCTGTGAAACCATACCTTAGCATATCAAAGATTTTGGGGAATATTTCATGTTAAGTGGTGTCCACTGTGACTTGAAGCAAAAAAGAGTTCATACCCGAAGAATGTGGGCTGAAAATGCATGATTGCTATTTACAGGCTTACAGAATGTTGGCTTGCAGCACAAAAGACATAGCTGGCCTACACAGAACTGTACCTATAAATTAGTTTGAAATGCTTGCAAGCTCTGATTCAGGTTATTGACTGAGGCTAAGGTTCTTGTTTCCTAGTTCTTGTGTGAAGGGGTGGCAGTAACTAACTTCTCTGTATCCAACACCAAAAGCAGAAATGCTTCGTTGTTAGATAACCAAGCACTATTTTGTTAATCTGCACCAAAAAAAAAGCAACAGTGCTTTGAAAAGTGCATGTACACTGTCTTGGCAACAATGCCAAAGGCATAAAGTGTTGTTTTTCCCTTCATCTAGGTCTCTGGTGGTCTGCACCTATACCAGCTCTTCCCACTGAGCTGAGCTGTGGCCGTGCAAATTGTCACTCCTGAAATACGAGAGGTAAAATTCAGTTTCCTAGAACCAAGGTAACTGAAAGGCTGATAGGGACTGGCCTGAGGCAGTTCCTGCGCCTTCTGAAGCCTTGGTGACCAGTCTAATATAAAGTAATAGCCTCTGCTCACACATGGCTGAATAGGCTGGACTTTGGCTCTGTTTCCACAAACTGCTAGCTATTTTTATTCTAGGAAATCTTACTTTCTTTCCAGTTTTCTGTGGCTTTTTTCCTTTCGTTTTGTCCTTCCCGTCGTCTTTTTCTTTTTTCCCTTTTTGGGATTTTTTCTGCAAAGCCATCTCTTTTTTGGCAGCCAGTTCTGCAGCGACCTGAAGGAGAGAGAAAGGAAGGTGAAGAGCTGGTCAAATATTTTCACGTCCAAGGTGTGTTAGATACGTGCTTGTAGGAGTTATGAACCGGTGTTTGTCTTTCCTTCCCTGCTTTCAGCTTTCCAATACTGGGGACACATGATATCCAATATATTGTCTGGCAGCAATCTATGAACTCCAGAGTA